GGGGGGGGGGGGGGGGGGGGGGGGGGGGGGGGGGGGGGTTGCTGCCTTTGTCTGTGCTCGCTACTTCCCACTTCTGTTTCGTTGTCGTCCGTCGGCGAGTGTGGAGTGCGACGTTGGGATTGCGTAGATGCTGCGAGTCGGCGTGCATGGAGGGCGTGGTCGTCACGCTGGGGACTGACTTTGACTTGACTTGATGTTTTGGCAGGCCGTGTATGGTGTGGCCCCCTTACCACAGTAGCGAGCAAGAGACGCGCACGGCGTCGCGCTGTGGGTCCGTGGGGCAGAGGGGCGGTCCAGAGACCACCACGCTGAGCCCGCAACGGCAGCGGAGCGGGACGTGCATCCCGCCCGACGCGCTGGGAGCCACCACGCCTGCCCAGGTTGCTGGGCGACTCCAAGGGCAGTATGTACCTGGTTGGTTGGTGGGATGCAGTGCGGCGCTGTGCGCCTAGGCTGTCCGAACCTCGTCATCGCAGGCCCGGCTCCTCTCCTACCCGCATAGCATACGCGCGCCGGCCGTCTCGCGACGGCCGCGGGCGTGCGGTCTCGATCTCGCGCGATCGGCCGTCGATGGGGTCGGCGTGTTGTCGTGCGTGTGTGATGTTGTTGCTTTTGGCGTGCGCCGTGGGTGTGCGCTGTGGGGTTGCGACTGTCTGGGGCTGCATCCAGGCTGCGGTTTGGTCGTGCTGGGGRCCGGCGGCTTGGCTTCTTTTTGTTTCGCTCAAGCTTTCCGACTTGATTCCGGGCGTGGTGGTTCGCGAGTGTGGTAGTCTCCTTGCGTGGACGCATCGTACAAGCGGGTATGGGGGCGATGCTACGAGTGGCAGGCGTTCTGTGCTGGATCCCGCACTGCGCTGCTCGTGCTGTAGGATGCCGCCTTTGCTCTTTGTTGGTCCTTGCAACATCCCACCTCTGTTTCGCCCTCGTCCGTCTGCGAGTCTGGTCTTACGTTGTGGGATGGCGGGCAAGTACAGCCGGGGTTTTGCATGCTAGCCATCGTCCTTGTGTCTGGTGTCGCAAATTCGACCGAGTGGATTCAGCATGGTATCACTGCGTTTGCTGTAAAGTACAAGCGGATACGCATGCGTCCGAGTGACTGGAGAGCGCTTGGCACCAAGATGAGGCATTCCGAGCTGGATCCGGCGCTGAAGCTTGCCTGGTTGGCCACTGCCCACTTTGTTGTCCTGGCACAATCCTACGAGTTGGTCTTGCCATCGTCGTCTGGCGGCGTGGTTCTGCAGGAGGTTGCTGCGTGCGTGCAGCGAGCTACAGCGCTAGGAGTCGCTGTGCGTGTTGAGGCGCAATTACCATGCACTCACCATGCTGAGGTTGTCTGGGGCTGCACCCAGGCTGCGGTTGGTCGTGCTGAGGCCGCCGTCTTTGCCGTTTCTTGGCTCACACTTCATAAGTTGGTTTTCCCCATGAAAGTTTGCCAGAGTAGTCTAGGACGTGATGATTGCGTGTTGCTGTGAGCACAGTGCTAGGCGTCCATGTGCACGGACAGCGCGGCGACCATCACAGCCAAGCGGTCTGGGCTGCCTCCCGACTGCGCTGCGAGACCGAGGAGCGTGTCGCTTTTTCTTGATCCTTCTGGCTCCAGCTTCACACGTCGCTGTTTTTACGAGATGTCGTGTCCGACTCACGAATGCGTGGTGGCGTGAGCGCAATGCTCGCAGCCTTGGAGACACCCAGACTTCAGCCTCCAACCACGACTACAACCAAAGCTGGGTCGCAAAGCCAAGCTCACGTCCAGACTTGCTGTGCGCGCAGCGTCGTCATTTGCGCGAGTGTAGTGGTATCATTGCGTGCGAGTGCTCTAGCAGGGGTATGTGGGGATGCTACGACTCGGGCTGCATGGAGAGCTGGATGGCGAGACGCAAGTGTTCGTCTTGATCCAAGTCATCCTCCGCATCCGACGCCGCGAGATCGGGCAGGGTATCCAATTGGGCTTCGAGTGTGTCTAGCGCACGGGTTGTTGGCGCTGCCGCGGGCTGTGCTGGTGCCTCTGATCCCGCAGCTGTGTTTGCAGTGGTGGAGGCTGTCGATTTGCGCTGGCTGAACGTCCTAGTCTCTCCGACTCGGAACGGCATCCTAACCGCATCGCAGAGCCTTTTTGCCTTGACCTCTCCGAATCCGGGGCACATGGCGACCTGTGCCACCTCGGCGTTGACTACACCTCTGAGCGTGCCAAACGTGCTGAGCAACGTGACGACGTCGGTGCGATTGATCCCCCGGATCTGCGTCAGCACATTCGTCACCTGGGCGAGGTAATCTTCGCCGACGCGCTCCTTGATGGCATCGGGAGGCTTGTGCTCGAACGACTTGTACGTTTCAATGTACTTCCCAGCCTCTTCGGCGCTCCAGGCAAGCACCATGGTGAGCGAGTTGATCATCGACACTTTCGTAAGCTCCCGAATCGCAGCTTGGTGGTCGTTGACATCGCATAGCACCAAAAGCACGCGCAGCGTGTACATTTGTTGCAGCTTCGAGATGCGCGTGTGCACGTATTCCGGATGCAACCGATGGTATCGGATCGACAGGAACAAAACGCACGACGAAAGCCCCACTTGGTAGTCTGGCACAATGTCGGCGTATTCCCAGCCAATGTTGCGGATGTGTTGGAGCACGGGGTTGCCGCGCTGGCAGTTGTTCACCAGCACCGTCGTACCGCTACCTTGTGCACCTCGAATCAGCGGTCGCGGTCGTGGTTGCACCACAGGGCCAGCCCCGCTACTCGTGCTGGTGCTGCTGTTCATGTCGCGTGCAAGCGACGACGCCGGTTGGAACGACGACATCGGTCGCAAGCTGTCGCCATTGGCACCCGCCATTTACAGCTGTCGATGCGATTGCGCAGCCCACTCAGTGTGTTTCCTTTTCAGACCATTCGTGCCCGTGACTCGAAGCGAGAGGTTTTGATTGCCTACAACACCGAACGAGAGACAAAAGCCGATACGAAGCCAGAAGAGGTCAGTATCGCGTCACCAACGACTGCTTCGACCATCGCAAGGGCATCGGGCATTGCATCTCGCAAGGCGCGGGGGGGTTTTCGGCGGATCAGAATTGCAGAAGAAGAAGAATTGGCTCGTCACCGAAGTCGCCTTCTTGGACTGTTGAGCTTGTGAATGTGAAATTTTAATCATCGCTTCCACGACCGAGAACCCCCTTGTCTTGCGTGCCTGTACCGATGCGAGGATGCTCTGCCGGAATGCTTTTGCGGTGTCAATGAGTGCAAACTTACGAGTGTGCAAGTAGCGCGGGGAGAAGATCAATGATTCTCCCGACGCGCAAACTGGGTTGGTGTCAGAGCAAGCCGCCGTGTCGTTGGCTGCTCAGCGCGTCGCAGTTGTCGGATATGCAAATGGTGGCAGGAGCGACAGCAAAGACGCGCTGATCACCCCCAACGACGGAGCGGATGCACTGGCCAAGAGGGAAAGGAAGGGTTCATCTCGCTCGGTCGCCGAGTGTGGCTCAGTCAGCGCGCTGCCAAAGTGGAGGCTGGTTTTGCGGTGTGGATATCGGCGATTCGACAGTGCATGTATTTCAATATAAATGCTACGCGTGACCTCGGCCGAGCTTTGACGCTAGTCACGTGCTGTCCATTTTGCGAAAATTCGGGGCAGCAGCACGCTTCCCGCTGGATCCGAGGTTGAAAACGCAGACCGTGGGCCCTGTCGCCGCCCAGTCGCTGCCGGCTGAGACTTGGGTTGGGCAGCAGCCGGCAGCCAACAGCAGTCGAGCCGCCCTAAGGCGCAAGGCGCAAGTGAGCCCAAAGCAGCAGCAGCAGCAAAGCGAGTGCCCGTGACGCCGACCCAGGGAGACTGGACTGGCCACTGAATTCTCAGCTTTGGGAGCTGCGAGAGCCAGCGCCAAGTGGAATCGGTCAGCTGGCTCATCGTCTCACACCTTCTCCTCACCATCAAGTCCAACACATAACTCAGCAACAATGGGTCGGGTCATTCGAGCTCAGCGTAAGAGCGGTGGTATCTTCACCGCTCACACCAAGCACAACAAGGCTCCCGCCAAGCTCCGCGTCTACGACTACGCCGAGCGCAACGGCTACATCCGAGGTGTGGTCAAGGAGATCATCCACGACGCCGGTCGGTAAGTGTCTTTATAAGTGCCGACGCACATACGCACAGCAGCATTCGCAATTGGCAGCAGCAGCATCATCGACAACTTCGACAGCATCGACATTACCAGCATCAGCAGCATGTGCATTCGAAACGTCTTCGCAGCTGCAATAGCTTGCGCATGGCACTCAGCAGGTTCAGGAGGAAGGCATTCCAGACAGATTCGGCACGTGGACAGAACGCAGAAGCAGACAGGCATGGCATAGCACTCGCTAGGATCGATAGAGGCAGACATTCATGGAAGCATTCAAGCATCGGGTTGTCGAAAGCAGGCAAAGGGTCCACATCGCAGCTGCTCGGACAGCGTCCAACGTGACTTGCGCATCCAACGTTCATGCTCCGAATCACGTCGGTTTCTGCATCCACACGCACATCGTCGCATCTTTCGACCCAGCGACGTGGCGCACCTGCATCCATCGGAACCACCCAACACACGCCAGCTCACTGCGCCACAGCCTCGCCCTGCATCATTTCCAGCCATCTCATAAACGTGACCTGCCGATCTTCACCCGTCATCCATCTGGTATCCCCGCCAAGCTGCATTATGCCGATTTGAAGCGCTGTTGCCCTCATGCTGCTGCAGCGGTGCGACCTGTCTTTCCCTCGTCACCAACAGCACACTGACTCTGCTCGCGTTCCTTGCTCTCCTACAGTGGTGCTCCCCTCGCCAAGGTTGCCTTCCGTGACCCCTACAAGTACCGCACCCGTGTCGAGACCTTCGTTGCCACCGAGGGCCTCTCCACCGGCCAGTTCGTCTACTGCGGTAAGAAGGCTGCCCTGAACGTCGCCAACGTTCTCCCCCTCTCGTCGCTCCCCGAAGGTACCATCGTGTGCAACGTCGAGGAGAAGTCCGGTGACCGTGGCTCGCTCGCCCGCACCTCGGGCAACTACGCCACCATCATTGGCCACGACTCCAACGGCAAGACCTCGCGCATCCGTCTCCCCTCGGGCGCCAAGAAGACCGTCCCCTCCACCTCGCGTGCCACCATTGGCATCGTCGCCGGCGGTGGCCGTATCGACAAGCCCTTGCTCAAGGCCGGCCGTGCCCACCACAAGTTCAAGGTCAAGCGCAACTCGTGGCCCCGCACTCGTGGTGTGGCTATGAACCCCGTCGACCACCCGCACGGTGGTGGTAACCACCAGCACATCGGCAAGCCCTCCACCCGCTCCCGCTTCGCCCCCGCCGGTCAGAAGGTCGGTCTCATCGCCGCCCGCCGCACCGGTCTTATCCGCGGTACCATCAAGACCAAGGACGCCTAAATCTGACCCGCTCGGCCCATATAGGCTCGTTCGGTTTTGGTTTCTGGTTCACGTTCTTGTTTTTCTTTGGTTTCCCACCTTTTTCCCCCTTGGGACGGTGCGGTGGGACAAGTGGCGCATTGCAGGCTGTATGGAAACGGCACGGTTCTGCATCTCGGCCACATCACCTCTCCCGCGCCTTGTCTATTGTACTCTGGACCGTCAAAACGTCCGCTCAACCCTCCCTCTTATGCCGTTATCCAAATCTGGAGTTGGGTGTTTCGGCGCCTCTCTCCGTTGCATCTTTACGCACACACACACACACACACCCAAAAGAAAGATTGGCAATCTCAATCTGGTTTTCTCTCGCCCTCGCGCTCGTGCTTTGTGACTCTTGCTCGTGACTAGCTCTGAGCTCTGCTTCGTGATCACGATGTTGGGGGGTTGGACATGAATTTCAATCGCGCCCTTGACGCGAACCCCTTGTTCGACGGGGTTTATCAGAGCCGCGTCGGGTGCTTGCACGGCTGGGTATCTGATAGGGCGATGTACCTCTGGATGGCGTTACGGGTCGCGTGAGTGACTTTGGCAGTGGATCGTACTGCCTCTCAGCGGCTCGTTGTGAGGCTGTGTGCGGGAGCTGCAGCGTAGGAACATGGTCGTTTCGCAAGGTCAAGAAGTTCTCCAGCCGTTCCTCTACTTCTCGCAGCGTGATGCCTAGTCGGAGTCTTGCGTGCTCATCCTCCACGACGCCGCGGATGGGCGAGTAGACCAGGTTACCGTCGCTGGCGAACTCGGCGGGCAGCGGCGAATCTGGCCGCCTTAGCGCCGGTCGAAACCCGAGCCAGCCCGAATCGCGCTGCCATTCGGGAAACAGCCCCGGCGCTTCTTCCGTCACCTTGACGATCTCCTCGACAGAGTTTGGGATGGGAATGCTTAGTGCAGAGCCCACGCATACGATGAGCACGAGCATGTGCAAGAGAAACATGATGAGTTGTCGCTACCACTGCCTGGCAATGCGACGAGCAAGCGAGATTATATACCCTTGCGCCATGCTGTTCGTGCTCCGAGTCGCTCCTGACGAGCATCGGGCGGTGCACACATAGGAAAACTTCATCAAGCAACACACGCTCCGTGTGATAACCACGCCTCGATGCACAAAGGTGAAACGCAACACACGCTTTGCGAAAGCAAACGAGAAGCATTGCACAAAACGCAGCGCGGAGAGAGAAGATAAGCATGCAGGAACGAGTGGATCGAGGCTCGGTACGTGGGTGGGGCGGAAGCGTTGGGATGACCTTCGCCATCGCCCCGAGCTGCGGTGGGGATGAAGTGGTATGCGCGCTCGTCGCCGGTGTCGATGACCGGCAAGTCGACCTCGGCCACACGTCTCCGACACCGCACATCATTTCGGCACGGTCGATCCCGAAGCCACCCAGCGTCGGGGTCTACCGAGCGCATTCGGCGCTCAGAAGCTGAGACGCTGCTTGATCTTTTGCGACGTGGCGCCATCCTTGAGCTCGTCGTTGAACCTGCTGAGGTCCAGGCCCGTTTGGCGCTCGTAATCTTCGAGCGCCTGCTGCCACTGTGCCTTGGTCAAGCCCTGCGACCTGTCCAGCTGTGCCTTTTGGATGACCTTGTCAACGCCAGGCCTCAGGCGCTGGTTGGCGCTGCTGCTCGTCGCAGGCTGGGGCGCCGTCCTGAATCGTACCTTGCGCATCTTGCGCACTGCTTCGTCAGCTCCAGCAGCACTGCGTAGCGATGAAGCGCCAACGGACTTGATCTCCTTCACCGCGCCTGTTCCAGACAGGAACGCAGGAGCACGCTGCACGCCTCGTGCCGCGTCGAGGCTCATCCCCTCGAGACCGTGCGCAAGTGCCGTGGTGGCGTCCATGCCCGCAGTGAGCTCGCCTGCATTCATGGGCGCTCCAACCGCGTGCATCGCCACGATGCCCAGGAAGAGTACATATATCATCGCCTTCATCGCTGTAAGTCTGTGTATCTGTGTATGAGCAGGAGCAAAGAGGACAGCGAGCTTTCGACCCATATTATAGCTTACCGCCCACCACAAGGCGCGGCTCCAAGACCGGCTCAGCACAAGTCCGCCGCTGCAGGGCATGCTGCAAAGGCTCCCTATCGCACCGGCTATCGTGTGTGATCACCCACCGAGCTTGGTCACAGCGGGGCTACGCCACCTCCTGAAAAAAAGGCAGCATTTCATGTCCCTGCACATCAGCCAAGATGCAGTGTCGAGCGCAGGCGCTCCGCGGTGATACAGTGCATACCCTCTTTTGAGTATGTCTGCGCCGTTGCACCACTGTCAGCCTTGTGCATCCCTTCATATGTGGGACGTAAAGTGCACACTCACCCTCATATCATATGTGCACCCCCTCGCTCTCGTCTCAACTTCTTGTCAGTGCGCTTTCACGCCGCCTGGTGTAGCTCCCATCAGCTTGTACAGATCCATGAATTACCAGAATCTTGACCGCGAGTACCATCGGAAGATGGCGGGTACTGTGCATACCGTAGCGCCGTGTGATGTGGAATGTGGTCACTAGCTCGTCGCAAGCCACACTGAACTCGCCACGCAGCTCTGCTTTCCACACACCGCCGCAGCATACCCACGCTCCACCATTGCCATTCGCTGGTCTCCACAGAAGCTGCTGGAGATTTCCGAGCTGCTCCAATGTCCCCTCCCTTGACTACCTGCATCTTACTCGCAAAACCCGCGAGTGGTAGCGAAACACAATTATCCCCACCTGGACTCGGTATACCGTACCGCAAACACGCCCTGTATCCGCTCTTTCATCTTCCCGCAAAGTTCCGGTGAATGCGGATCTAAACCCAAACCAAAGCGTAAAAGCGAACATACACTCAAACTTGCCGTTCAAGCTTTCACACGGAGCAGACGATGGTCACATGTCGCAGCATGAATTGAGCGGAAATCGGGTACATGATCCGCTGTCACATGTCGCTTCACGTGAGGTCGAGCGAAAGACAACGTTTGTTGGGGGGTAAAAGGAATGTGGTCATGTGTCAAAGACGACGGCGGGATAGTGGTCGTGTTGCTGAGCCGGAGCGAGCACGAGGCGGGGAGAGTGGGGCATTGGGGGTTTACCAGAACCAGCCGGTGCGCTCCTTTTGCCTTTCGGCCTCCATCTGGGCGTTGTGCCTCTCAGCGGCGGACCAGGTCAACCACTCCGTGTCCGGGTGAGGGATACCTGTCGAACCAAGAACAAGCGGTTAGCACATACACCAACGCAACCGGGTGCAAAAGCGTTACTTACGAGGGTGACCCGGGTATCTGTTTAGATACTGGATCATCGAGTCGTCATGGCCGGGGTACGACGAATAGTGTTGAGGAGGACCCTGGTAGTGGCCAGTGGGAGGACCAGTATAGTACATTCCAGGAGCAGGGGGGCCCGACGGGGCGTATTGAGGGTGAGGAGCAGCCACTGGTGCATGCTGAGCTCCAGGATGAGCCTGCACAGCAGGTGCAGCAGCCGAGGGCGGCGTGACTGGACGCTGGGGAGCGGGCTGTTCGATATCAACACGCGCATGCTTTGGGCTCGACCTTCCCGAAGGGGCCTTGCTGGATCCGCCGGCGGATCCTTCGGGCAGACCATCCCACTTGAAGTCGTCCTCGAGCGCACGAGCGGCACTGGACGATTCGCCCTTGCCCTTGCCCACCAGCTTGCTCGCTCCCTTGAGCAGGTTCCAGCCCTGCGGAGTAGGGGCGGCCAGCACCACAGCACTGCTCGAGAGCGCAAATAGAACGATAGGGTTGATCTTCATCTTGACGGCTCTTGCAACTGGGGAAATTTGTTGTTCTGAACAACGACCTTTCGCTCTGAGCTGCTCGTTTATATCCTTTCTTGCTCGCAGGGTGGAGAGGTCAACAGTCAGCAAGGCTGCCAAGCTCGATCGAGCGCAAAAGTTTTTTTTTTTGCAACACCCACCTTGGAAGATCCGTGATTGTTAAGGAGCGTTTAGCTTCAGATGCCGGCGTGGGCGTCGTTGCAATGCCCACCATGCCCGCCCACAATCATGACAACACCAGAGCTCTTTGTCAACAACGATGATCAACTCTTCGGCGGGTGATGCTGCGTTGCACAAAGCGGCTGCAAGAGGTTTGCAGATGGTGGGTTGATTGCCAGCCCTGTATGATACCGTATCACAATGACAACTTCCCCTCTTGCCGTGCATTTCGTCAATTCATGTTGTGACTCATGTCGACACCAACCCGCTCGAGAAGGCTTCATCAAGGACCAAAAATTTTGCTCCGACAACAATGCAGCTCGGCACCATTTGAGTTGCCGTGCGGTGGCTTCATTTCTCGGAAAGGGCACCATTGTTTAATGTGCCTGCATCCTCGATGGTGGGGCTCATCAAGACCCATCTCCGAAGCTGCATACTCGGTGGGAGGCTCGAGGCGGAGCCAAAAAAAAAAATGCAAAAAAGAAATCTCCCAACGTGGGGCTCGAACCCACGACATTCAGATATCCCAAGTGAAACTTGGAAACCCTTGAGTAAGAGTCTGACGCTCTACCGACTGAGCTAGCCGGGATAGATCGATACACACCGCCCGGAATGTTGCAATTACATACCACTTGCTGTAGCCGCACACCTGAACTCTGAAGAAGGATCTAAGTTCGTTTTCAGGCCTCCTCCTTGCTCACTCGCGCGCTACGACGGATGGGTTGGTGGCAAGCATGTGCGATTGCTGGCTGCGAGACATAGATATGTACAATGCAAGGAGTAAAGGCGGATCCTCTGGAGGAGCAGAATCACGGAATGTCGAGTTCGCCCTTGAGCTTCTTGATGAGCTTCTTCTCGTCGGTGGAGATGCCGTCCCAGAAGTGGGCCTTGAGGGCGTCGATGGAGGCGCGGCTGATGTGCGAGACGATCACGTCGTTCTCCTCAAAGTGCCTGCCGAACATCTTGGCGGATTCGTGCACGGCATGTTCGATCTTGACCGCCACACCGCCGCCGACGTCTCGCTTGAGCACCACGTCGCGCTCCTTGTGGTTGATCTCGAGCGACGTCACCTTGCCCAGATGCACCACCGTCTTCTTGCGCGTGGTCGGATCCGTCTTGACCACACACAGTGGCGTTCCGACGCGCAAAGAGCCGTCAATAATGTCGCACCCAAGAATGATGGGATCACGCTTGGCAAAGCACGCGATGGTCTTGAGACGACACGGCCACACGGCGGTTCCGGACGCCTCCTTCTTCTTGCCCTCCATCACCTCGTTGTGGTACTTGGTGAAAGCATTCTCGAGGTGGTAAATGATCTTGGCGGTGAAGATCTTGATTCCGAGCTCCTCGGCAAGCTTCTCGGCTTCCTTGTCGACGGGCACATCGAATGCTAGGATGACAGCAAGCTCCTTGGCCTTTTCAAGCATGGTCGAGCATCGCACCACGTCCTTCTTGAACACGGGCCCAATGTTGATGCCGTTGACGGGAATCTTGCTGACGCGCAGAAACTCGAGCAGCGCCTCGAGCGATCCGAGCGTCGACGCCTGCACGCAGACACCGCGACCGGAAGTGTCGATGGAGTTCATGAGCGAGCTGAGATCGCTCATCACCTCGTCCTTGAGGTCCTCCTCGTCGTCATCGGGGCCGACGACGAGCAGGCGCGAACCGGCGATCGCCTTTTCGAGATCCGGAGCTGCAATCTTGACACCGAGCGCCGCCTTGACCATCTTGTGGTGCACATAGGCGCCCTTGACACGCATCTCCTTGAGCGGCTGCGGGGTGAGCAGCGCTCGGACCTGTGTGACGATCGGACCGTTGAGACCACAGACGACGATGCGATCACCCTCGTGCATGACACCGTTAGAGAGCACGACGTCGATGGTGGTACCGAGACCCTCGATGACCTTGACTTCGAGCACGGTGCACTCGAGCTCGGAGAGGTACATGAGCTTCTCGCTCATTCGCGTCTGGGTGAGCTCGATGATGAGGCGCAGCATGTCGGGGATACCCTCGCCGGTGAAGGCCGATGTGGGCACCAGGCTGACGTTACGGCCCATGTTCTTGTTGTCGTAGTACGGCACAGCGTTGAGGCCCTGTTCGGCAAACTGCACAATGACCTGGTTGGTGCGCTCCTCGAACTCGTTGCGCGTGGCGCGCTGCTGCTTCTCGAGACTGTCGCGGAAGGCGCCGTTGGGAGTGGGGTCCCAGCCGTAGAGACGGTCGATCTTGTTGAGCGCGACGATGAAGGGCGTCTTCTTGTCCCTGAGCAGTCGGATGGACTCGATGGTCTGCTGCTCGAGACCGTGCATGATGTCGACGACGAGGATGGCGATGTTGCAGAGCGACGAACCTCGCGTTCGAAGGTTGGTGAAAGACTCGTGTCCTGGCGTGTCGATGACGAGCAGACCGGGCACCTTGTACTCGAACGGCGAGTCCTTGTCGAGCACGGCGGTCTTGGACTGAAGCACGTCGGTAGGGAAGTAGGTGGCGCCGATCTGCTGGGTGATACCTCCTGCCTCGCCCTCCTGGACGTTGGTCTGGCGAATCTTGTCGAGCAGCTTGGTCTTGCCCGTGTCTACGTGACCGAGAATACAGCAGATTGGGCTGCGGAGGTCGTCGCGGCTCCTGGCTGCCATGGCCTGCTCGGTACGCTCCTTCCTGCGCTCGGCGGCCTGAGCCTTCTTCTCGGCGGCCTGACGCTGCGCAGCGGTCATGCCGTCGTCCGAGTCGGAATCCGAGTCGTCGTCGCTGCCCGAGTCGTCKTCGTCGTCCGAGTCGTCGTCCTCGGAGTCGTCCTCAGCGTCGTCCTCGGCGTCGTCCTCGTCGGCCTTGTCGGCGGCAGCCTTGCCGTTGGTCTTGGCGGGCGCGGCGGCGGCGGCGTTCGACTTGGACTGCTCCTTGGCTGCCGAGGGCTTCTCGTCTTCGGACTCGGCATCCCAACTGTCCTTGACGTCCTCATCCTCGGATTCGGCATCCCAGCTGTCCTTGACATCCTCGTCTTCCTCGGTGGGCTCGTCAGCCTTGGCAACCTCCTGGGCCGGAGCGGGAGTCTGTGCCTCCTCTGCTGCTGGAGCCTCGGTAGGAGCGGGCTTGGCGTCTTCCTCTTCCTTCTTTTCGTCAGCAGCGACGGGCTCGGGGATGGTGAGACCGCCGTCACGCTTCTGAGGGCCCTTCTTCTTGCGGTTGTCGACGACGGCGCGCTTCTTGGCAGGGGCGGGCTTGCCATTCGCCTCGCGGTTCTCGAGACCCTCGACCTTGATGTGACCGGCCTGAATCATGGCCTGCATCCTGGCCTCTGCAGCCGCCTTCTCTGCCTTTTGCTTTGGGGTGAGGAACTTGCCCTCCTTCTTGAGCTGCTCCTTCTTGGCCTTCTCCTTCTCCTTCTTTGCGCGCTTGGCGGCCTCCTTTCGCTCTTCCTCCTCCTGCTCGAGACGCTCGCGCTCCTCTTCGGCACGGATGGCCTCGAGTCTGGCCTGCTCTGCCTCCTCGTCAGCCTTCTTCTGCGCAGCGATGCGGGCCTGGAGGGCAGCGAGTGCGGGGCTGATCTTCTTTCCGGAGGCAGGTGCTGGTGTAGCGGCAGGAGCGGGCTCGGAAGCGGCGGCCTTGCCCTTCTTCTTCTTCTTGGAGGCGGTGGAGGCGGCGGCAGGCGCGTCGTCGCCCTTGGAGGTGTCGGCAGCGTCGGCGTCGGCGGCATCGTCGTCGTCGTCTACAGCGTCCTGCTTGGCGGGTTGTGATGAGGAGGCAGCCTTCTTGGCGGCGGCCTGGGCCTTCTTCTTTGCCTTTTCCTTCTCCTTCTTGAGCTTCTCCTTCTCCTTCTTGGTTAGGATGCGCGGTGCGCCGTCGTCGGCATCGTCGGCGGCAGCGGAAGCGGCGTCTTCGTCCCGCGTCTGCTTCTGGGCGGCGGCCTTCTTCTTTGGCTTGTCCTCGGGGAACTCGTCGTCGAGCATGTCGTCGATGGTGCCCTGGACTGGCGCCTTGCCTGCGAGGTCCTGCTCGGCGTCGGCTGCGTCCGCGGGAGCGGTGGCGTTGCCACTGACGTCCTCGGCGAACTCGTCAAAGTCAAAGTCGTCGTTCTTCTTCTTCTTCTTTTTGTCCTTTTTGCCCTTCTTGTTGGCGTTCTTGATGGCGCCCATCAGACCGTAGCTGTCGTCGTCGTCGTCAGCGGCGGCAGCTGCTGGGGTTGGCGCAGGTTCCGATTCCTTGGCAGCTTTGCCATTGGCGGCCTTTTTGTTGTCCTTCTTGGACGGCGGTGGCGCATCGTCATCGTCATCGTCATGGTCGTTGCCGTCGGCGCCGTCGTCGAGCGACATGGCTGCAAAGAGGTTCTTGGCCTTGTGAGTGGGCGCCTCATCTTCTTCGTCGTTGGCGGTGAGGGCGGCGTTGTTGTTGTCGATGGACTCGCCGGCTTCATCCCAAAAGTCGTCGGCACCGCCCTTCTTGGCGCCCTTCTTCTTTCCCATGATGAGAGGAGGGTGCGCCGCTGTGCGTAGGGGTGTGATGCAGCTGGATGTACGGTGGTGGTGGGGCCTAGCTGGTCTTAGATGCAGTCAAGTGAGGAACGACCGGGGCACCTGGCGGCGAGTGTCAGTTGGTGAGAGGGCAGGAAGAGTGGAGCAGTCGGTGCGAATCTGTAACCGCGCAAAGCTGCAGCTCCTGGTGCAGAGCGGCAACGAACTCGAAAGATCGCAGTCTCCAGCCACTCAAAAAAATGCGGGAAAAGAAAGGGCAACTTCAGGATCGCGACTGAGCCAGGGCGGGGCTTCGAGATCGTTGCTACTGAGCCTCTGGATCGGCTACATCGGGAGGCACGAAGCAATGGGCCAAAAAAAAAAAGCAGGAATTCGTCTTCTTTTTCGTAGACTCATCAGCTGCAGCTCCACTTTTCGGCCAAGTTTTCCTCCACACTTTTTCTGGCGGTATTTTTTTGTCCATTGGCTGCAGGCAGACAAGGCCGACTTGGAGGAGGCTGCCTTGATCCATCGTCCCCTCCGACCACCTTGAGCAAAGACAGAGATACGATGTCGAGCAAGGCTACCTCTTCGAGCGATATGCTTCCGGCCAAGCCGACAAGCACGACCACAGTGTAAGTCGAAAGGATGCGTTCGCGGGTGCAATCCTGCAGCGATGTGGCGATGATGAGGAGGCAAGCCAGACTGACATGTGCTCATGCGACTCACAGTACGATTGCGGGCAAGAAGAAGACGACGCCATGGGAGAAGAAGCTGGAGCAGCGCCGAAAGCAGGAGTCGATCAAGCAGAGGGAGCGCGATATGAAGGCGGAGAAGGAGGCCGAGTCGGACAGGAAGAAGCAGGTCACTCGTGAACGCAAGCAGATGGCCGAGGAGAAGGCACGACTCGAGATCATGGCTCAAAAGGTAAGTGAAATGCTTGCTCGATCGAATGGGAGAAGGATGGATTGGCTGACGCTCGTGCTGCTTTTGCCTTGTGCCTCTGTGACGATAGATGAGCGCCAAGAAGCTCGCGCGGAAGCAGCGCCGTCTGGGCATCACCAAGAAGGTCTCGCACGCATGATGCGGTGTCAATCCACGATCGATCTCTTGCCATCATCACACGACTCGCTTGCTGGCATCCATTGTACTTTTAGGCTTTCCGCATGCTCCGTTCTCCATCGCAGGTCTTCAGCTCGATCGGTCGGTGTGCTGCAGTGCGCAGGTCGGCGGAGGTGGCGTGTGTGTGTCGAGGACTGATCATTCGTCGCATGCGGTTCGGAAGCTCAACGACAAACTGGCAGGCAACACGCTACCGCAAGTGACTGACCCTCGGAGCTGCCGAACAGAGATGCACCGATGCTGCGATTTCAGGGTCCACTCTCACCGCCTAAGAGAATGCAGCGCAAGTGAGAGACACAGCGCGGCAGAGCAAAGAGGCTTCGGCCGTCGCTGGAAGGAGCTGTCACCAGGCTCATCACCTTGTCGTCGGCTCCCATCCGCTGCCACGGCGATTCCGAGCGCAGACAAGCTCGAGCTGCAGTCACATGCATTTGGGTGGAGTCGAGGTGTGATTTCATAGAGACGACTGGGCGCAACGCGTAGAGCAGCGGAGCAGCCGAATTTTTTCAAAGCGGGCGAGAAAGAGGGCGAGGGCGGAGCGAGGATGCGTGGGTGGGTGCATGCGTGTGTGTGTGTTGGATTTGAGTTGAGTTGGGTGGGCGAGCAGAGAAGCGCGCCGCACCCTTTTTCGTGCTGCTCCGAGTCGGACGCTTGCAGAGAGTGAGACTGAGCCGCGCTCTGCCGTGCTGGGGAGCCGCTATGGATATGAAAGACGGCTCGCAGCAGCGGCTCAATCGAGTTGCGCACTCCACTCCTCACTCCGCTTTCCCTTTCTTCTCCTTGATCCCTCACCACCATCCACACTTCGGCCCCCCCCAAAAAGAGCGCTCACGCTCCAATCATCGTAAGTAGACCACCACTTCCCTATTCGCATCGCTCCAGTCGCTCACACTTCTATATATCTCTTCAGAACATCCACACAGCAACCGGTCTGCATACCCTCCACCCTCACTCTCCTCGGCCGTCTGCTTCCTCATCCACATCCACATCCTCGACCCCTTCCTCCACGCTCGCCATGGCTTCCACTCCCAACAACGCCAGGGCTAACGCTCAGCCCTCGCCAGCGCACGCCAACCGACCCACCACCACCATGCCAACCGCCTCCGCTTCCGGACACAACAACGGCCTTAGACCCCCCAGCGCAGGCGTGCCTCCTCGCACCCCCAGCCAGAACACCAACTCCTCCCATCGCAGCAGAGCCTCCGCTCCGGGCTCAAAGCCACCGCTCGCCGCCGCCGAGCCTCCCTACGTCATCGACGGCCCCGGCGGCAGGATCGCCTGCGTCGCAGACGTGCGTGGCAACCTCTCGCTCTTCAACCAGATCGCCGCAGACACCAACGCACAGGCCATCATCCACACCGGCGACTTTGGCTTCTACGACCACGCAAGCCTCGAACGCATCAGCGACCGCACCCTCCGCCACCTCGTCCAGTACTCCACCCTCATCGACCCCGCCCTTCGCACCAAGCTCCTCGCCGCAGATGCTCCTCGCGCCCCTGCCGCCATCGCCGCTGGCCTTGCCGCCGACAAGGGCTCCGCCTCCGCCGTCATGCGTCAGCACATGCTCCAGCAACCCGGACTGCCCCTCTCTCAGTTTTCCGACCTCCTCGTGGGCAAAATCAAGCTCAACGTCCCCGTGTTCACCGTCTGGGGCGCGTGCGAGGACGTCGCCATCCTAGAGCGCTTCCGCACCGGCGAATACCAGGTCCACAACCTCCACGTCCTCGACGAGGCCTCCACCAAGGCCATCGAGGTCGGCGGCGTCCGTCTGCGCCTCTTCGGCCTCGGCGGCGCCGTCGTGCTTCACAAGCTCTTCGACAACGGCGAGGGCGCCGCCACCATCGCCGGAGGCCAGGGCACCATGTGGACCACCGCGCTCCAGATCGGCGAGCTCGTCGACACCGCACAGAAGACCTTCGACCCCACCGAGACACGCGTGCTCATCACACACGCCTCGCCAGGTCGCGAAGGCCTCCTCGCACAGCTCGCACTCGCCCTCAAGGCCGACCTCACCATCAGCGCAGGCCTCCACTTCCGCTACGGCGTCTCGTACAACGAGTTTAGCGTACAGCACGACGCAGAAAACTACAGGAACAAGCTCCAGCACGCAAAGCACGCCTTTGGCGAGATCTGGGACACGGTCAAGACCCAGGTCGACGCCGTGATCGACGAGAACCAGCGCATGCTGCTCAACAATGCGCTCGCCGTCGCCAACCGCGTCGCTCCCACCGCCACCGCCACCGGCGCCGCCAGCGAGGAGCCCGCCTGGAAGAACACCTGGAACTGGAACCTGCCCGACGCCGCCTACGGACACCTCGTCCTCGGCATCAAGGACGGCCGCGTGAGCGCAGAGACCAAGTCGCAGGGCTTCAACTTTGCATACCGCAGGAGCGGTCAGCCCATGGCCCCCGTCGCCCCCACCGGACAAGCCACCGCTGCTGCTGCTGCTCCGGCCCCTGCGCCGGCTCCAGCTGCTCCTCGAGCCACGCCGGCGGCAGCAGCAACCCCAGCTGCTGCTGCCGCCCCTGCAGCTGCACCGCGCGCTAACGCAGCCGCCAACGCTGCCTCCAACGCCGGCACCGCCGCCACACCGACCAAGGTCAACGCGTCAAAGCCCGCCGAGGCCAGCGTTGCTGCTGCCGGTGCGTCGGGTGCTGCTACGCCGGCCAGCAAGACGGCTGCCGCCTCGCCTGCTTCGGCCAAGCCCGTCAAGGAGAAGAAGGAACGCACGCGCGAGCGCGGCCACGAGTCGGCTGCATCCCGCTCCGACTTTGACGGCGGCTTCACCTCGGGCACCGACGGGCGCAAGTCGCCCAGCGGTCCGCGCAAGGTGCGCAACCCCTTCACGCTGTACGTGTCGCAGCTCAAGGAGGCGCTGCCCGTGACCGAGGACGAGCTGCGCACCTACTTTGGCCCCGCCGCCGCCGGCATCACGGGTATCAAGCTCGTGTTTGACAAGCCGCACCGCCGCGGCGCCTCGAGCGGCAAGGAGGACGCAGAGCAGCAGAGGAGGCAGCGTCCGTTTGCCTATGTCGAGTTCCGCGATGAGGCGGCCATGGCGGCCGGCTTCAAGAGGCAGGGCGAGACCATCAAGGGCGACGTCAAGCCCGTGCTCGAGCAGGCGGACAGCAACAAGGCGTCGCAGTCGCAGCCGCAGCAAGCCGAGGCAAGCGCGAGCGGCACCGACAAGGAGTCGAAGCGCGAGCGCCAAGTGTCCGGCAGGAAGGGCGGCGAGACGGACAAGGAGGACGAGGCGAGCAAGAGCGCCGACGACAAGCCCGCGGGCCGCAACAGCCGCCAGAGGAAGGACAAGGCCAAGGCCGAGGGCGGAGCCAAGGCTGCTGCGGCGGCGCAGGCTGCCGACACTGCTGCGACTGCGCCTGCCGACGGTGCGGCTGCCAACGCCGCCGCCGGCAACCACAACAAGAACAAGAAGAGGAACGGCGCCAACGGCGGCAGGGATAAGAAGGACAAGAGGGAGCCCAAGGAGCCCAAGGAGGTCAAGGAGGCGAAGGAACCCAAGGACGCGGCGCCTGCTGCAGCCAGCGGCGCCGGCGACAAGGACAAGAAGGAGAAGAAGGATGCTGCTCCCGCTCCCGCTCCCGCAGCCGCCTCCGCCCCCGCTCCTGCTGTGGCTGTGGCTGGCGTCGAGAAGAAGGACGCTCCGGCCGCACCCGCCGCGGCGTCCACCGACGCCTGATCCCCACTCTCCACCTCGCAGTGCGTGTTTGTTGTAGTTCCGTGGGCCCCGTCCCAGCCAATGCAGAAGAACGGCTGAGCCAGAGCACCGAGTACGGCGTGTGCCGAGCTGAGAAGGTGGAGCTGTGGTTGTGGCCGAAGCTGCACAGCCAGCCGAGCCTGAAGTGTTGTGTCGACGGTGGGGTGGGAGGAGCAAGTGAATGTGAGGAGACATGCCGAGTCGACCACTTCTGGGTATCGAGGTCGGCTGTAAGACAGGGTGTGGGAGCATAGTGGAGCGCGGAAGCGCCGGCGTCGGGCTGTTGCTGCGCGAGCATTGGCAGCTGGACGCAGGAGGATGGCTGTCGCAGCCTCACTGGATGTATCCCTTGCCATTTGATGATGCTAATCACGATGGATCCTCGAGAATTCGAAAAGGTCATCATTGGACGTAGCTCAAGAGCGTGACAATGCGGAACTCATGCTGTTTTGCTTCGATACATTCGAGGCATTGTCGATGGCTAGCATTCGACCCGCGTGTTTCCATCGATTGACGCTGGTTGCGGCGCATCGACCAACACAGTGCAACGCCTTCTTTGCTCCGCTCAGGATCTTGCGGCACGCTGACTGGCATTCAAGAACTCCATTAAAAAGGCGATACGACAGGTACGCCGATGCCATGGCCACGTGTCGTGAAGGGTTCGCTCCGAGAGTTCGACTAGGACGGATGATGCATGCGCCATGCATACCACTGTACACAGATGTGCGCGTCGAGTGCAGGATCGAACTTGATGTACAGCCGAGGCGTTGGCGCCGAGCACGCGCGCGCATCGCGCATCGTGGTGTGGACAATCGGCCGTTGAGCTCGAGTCTTTAGCTGCCGGCGAAACGTCGCTGCGATGGATACACCTCACGACATGTGCCAGTCTTTAGCTGTCAGTCTACACACTCGTATCCTGGTCCCGCAACACTCTGACTTCTGGGCGCGCCTCGCTGGCGACTGTATCGCAACCTCCCATTCAGAAGCGACGAAACGACATAAGCAGACTCACGAATCACAAAGCACATTGTGCGGCGGCTTCAGCGTGTTCTCTTTGCTGAGCATTTCGCATCGGCTTGCATACACACTGTCCCCGAATCGGAAATCTTCTCTCCTTCTACGTCGAGCGCTGAGCGATCCGATCCTGGCTGCCAAGGCCGATATTCGCCATACGTGAAACTCTAAGGTTGCTGCTGCGTTGACGCTGTCTACCAACTTGAGTATCGCACCAACTTGGCATGGGCTGCAGAGCCGAGAATGGGAGCACAATATCCTCATCGCAGCAGGTCGCAAGCTGCCTCTTTGAGCACGACTCTGCCTTCACACTGTGCATGGAATACCCCCACACTCGTCTTGCACAAGAAAGCGATGATGGCGATCTTGGAAAATAGGAACTGAGCTGAGACATGGCAGCGCACGATCGAGGCGTGGCGGTTGAGCCACAGAAGTGCACATTCGGCCCCCGATGCGGCCACACCATACACTGCCGCACACACTTGGAGTCTTGCAAGAACGATGATGTGGAACCGAATCCGATACGGCGTTGCTTCGTGAAACCTACACAACGGGCGCATTTACAATGCTATCGCGGCTAGGATGGCCGACTGCTGCTGCATTCACGCTGTGCCTTGGCTGTGGAATCGACCTCCGCCTTGCATACCGAACTTGGCGTGAATCAACATGCGATGACGGTGATACTGTGTGATGTAGACTTTGCTCGAGCACATGCTCTCTTCGCGGTGCATGAACGTCGTAGAGCGGCCGACTGCAAATGCCTTTACGCCGTGCATTGGATGCTCGATCTTGCCAACTACGCATGCTTTGAGTGCACAGCAATCACGAGAGGCGGTCAAAGCATACTCTCAAACGTGCCTATTTGGGCGGCAGCTGATGCTTTTGCGCTGTCCACCGACTAGAGAATTGCCCAACATAGCTTGTGCTGTAGAGCCGACGCGGGATGGGAGGATGGCAGCGTTTACGCCGAGTACTACGCGCTCATCGCACGGTCTTGGTAGACTTACCCACGGTGAATGCGTTCATACTGTGCACCGGCTTGAGTACCGCCAAGCTCGTCTGATCATGGTCGACATGATGATGAGACCAAGGCATGCCGGCGTACACTCACTCATCGCGCCACGTTGTCGTAAAAGTGACCGATGAACCTGCCCCGCTGATGCGCTCCCACTGTGTCTCGAGCAAGCTACCGCCAAATTCCTCTTGTACAAGAAGCGATAGGTGGTACGGCAAGATGCAGCAGGGAGACGCTAATCGGAGAGGCAACGAGAGTGCAGACATGCGCTCGTTGCAGTCCATGCTTGTGAAAAGTGACCATTAGACCGGATCTGCAATTGTTTGCTCACAGTTTGCGCTGTACACCGTCTCGGGTGTCGTCACACTTGGCTTGGAACAGCAGAGCGATCATGACAATTCCGGAGCCGGATACTCGGGAGCTATTGATGCCGAGCACACGCTCTCGTCGCGGCGCATGATCGTCGCAGGATGGCTGTGGAGCTGGAGCATCCACACTGTGCGTTGGACATCGTCGAATCGCGCTTGTACAAGAATGCGATACTGGCGTTGCTCGACAGCGGAGACTGTTGACGCCGAACAAAACGTTCTGATCGCGGCACATGATCGCAGTCTGCCTATTGAGCTGCGGTCTGCTGATGCCTTCACACTGTGCACCTGCGCATCAAGAGGCGATGAGGGTGAGAATCAATGACGAAACTTCAGTGCCTGTTGAGCTGGAGTCTGCCCATGCCTTCACACTGTGCATTGGCTACCGCGAAACTGCGCTTGTGTAAGAATGCGATGACGGTGCCACTTTGATAAAGAACCCACTTGCTGCCAGGGAACCATCTCGGCGCATGGTCGTACTCTGAACGGCAATGCGCACATCGCAGAATCTTGGTGCAGTGACCGACTGCTGATGCGCTCACACTATGGATGTGCACCACTGACTTGAATGTCGAGCACTGGCCTGGATACGGAATTCGGCTGGTCGTTGAGCTGGAATCCACACTGGGCCCCTGGTGCGTTCGCACTGTACACTGGCTTATCTCAACAAGCGATCATGGCGATACACCATCAAGACGAGAATCGGCGAGACATCGACAGCGTTTACGCCGAGCACAACGTCCTGATTGCGGCGTGGCCCAAGCTGGCTGAGGAGCTGGATACTGTGCACAGACTTGGATACCGCCAAACTGCGCTTGTATTGGCATGCAATAACGATGTCACTCGATAAAGAACCCCTTCAATGCCCGCGACTATTTCGGAGCATGGTCTGTACTCTGGACGGTGTCCGTTGAGATGCAGTTCACGGTCGAAAGCTCATGCGCTCACACCGTGTCTCCTGAGGTTACTTAGCGCCAAAGCGCGCTTGCCAAGCAAGGAGGCCGTACGACATATTCTGCTCAGGACATGCCCACCAAGGTGCAGACGTGTCATTGCTGCCGGAATGGCGTCCGCACCGAGGCCACACAATCGGCTCTGCTTGGTTTGTTGGCGCTTCAAACATGCTTCAGTGCAGGTTCGGCTCGCACCCATAGAGGTGACTAGGCTCACTGTCTGGAATCGGGGGCAAGACACGCCCATGTGGCTGCACGCTGGCGTAAGTTTCTTGTCTCGTTTTGTCCGGCTTGACGCCCTTTGCTCCTGCTCTGTCACATGGCCTCGCTCTCTTCTCTCCTGCCGCACAGTTCGCCTCTGTCTCGCACTGAGAAAAGTTTGCCGCGACCCGCTGTGCTGTTGGTCACTCGTTCGTTCGCAATGCCATTCGTGAAAGATCAAAGATCGCGGTGCTACTCAACAATGACCGAGCCACTTAGTGGCTGGGTCATCGCGGCGCCTGGTCGTACTCTGAACGGCAACGCGCACATCGCAGAACCTTGGTGCAGTGACCGACTGCTCATGCGTTCGATCAGTACACTGGCTGAGGCATGGCCAGATTCGTCTTGTACAAGAAAGCGATGGATGGCAATGCTCAATGATGAGGACCACAGAGACCAGACACAACGCGCCTCAGCAGCGCATGATCCCCGCAGACTAGCCGACTGCTGCTGCATACACACCGTGCACCGACTAGCAAACATCGGCGTGCATCAAGAGGCGCTCATGATGATACGACACTAAAACGAGAATGGGCGCTCATCGCAGCGCATTGGTCATCGTACGCTGCCCGTTGAGGCGGAGTCTACGGACGCCTTCACACTGTGCATGGGATACCGCCAAACTGCGCCTGTATTAGGATGCGGTACCGATGCTTTCGGGTAAATGAGAAGGGTGTGCTTGGGGCCATGGTCGTGCTCTGGACGGCAACGTGCTCATCGCATGATTGTAAGCCACTCACACTGTGCATCGACTTGGATACCGCCAAAGCGCGCTTGTGTCAGGATGCGGTGAGGATGCTATCAGATCAACGAAAAGAGTGTGCTTGGGGCCTATCACGGCGCATGATCGTACTCTGGACGGCAACGCGCACATCGCGTGATCACAAGCTGCCCATTGGGCTGGTAGGCTGATGCGCTCACACTGTACACCGGCTAGCAAAGATTGGCGCGTGTCAAGAGGCGCTCATGGTGGTACGCCATTCAAACGACATTGGGCGAGACAGCGAGAGCGTTGGCATGCGCTCCCTGCAGTCTGTGGTTGCGAAAAGTGACCGTTGAGCTGGGTCTGCTCATGCGCTCACACTGTGTCTCGAGAAAGTCACCGCCAAACATGGCTTGTATCAGGATGCGGTACCGATGCAATTAGATAAACGAAAACAACTCATGCTCGGAACTATCGCGGCGCATGGTCGTGCTCTGGACGGCGATGCGCACATCGCATGATCACAAGCTGCACGTAGAGYTGGTACGCTGCTGCGCTCACGCTGTGTCTCGAGAAAGATGCGGTACGGATGCAATGAAGTAAACGAAAACAACTCATGCTCGGAACTATCGCGGTGCATGGTCGTACTCTGTTCGGTGACCGTTGATGCTCGCCCTAACTTCGGTGGGCGGGCCACCCCTTGCATGCGCGAGCTGTGCACGCAGCCTGTCGTTCTCGGCGGCCAGATCGTCCTTATCCTGTGCGAGCTGTGCAATATGCTCCACGGCCTTGCTGAGGATCTCCCACTTGGACGTCTTGGGTCCCTTGTCCACGGGCAGCTGGTCGCGCAGATCGTCAAACAGCTCCTTCATCTCCTTCCTGCGCTTGCGCTCGGCGAGCTTGTGGCTCACGCGCAGCTCGGGCGAGCGCGAGTACGGTTTGGCGTCCTTGTCCACCAGCAGATGCTTGTTCGCACCCAGACTCGACGCACTCCCACGGCGCGATTCAGACAGCAATCCGCCGCCCTCGATCATCGCTCCACCACCCTCGCCGTCCGGAGCACTGAGATGCGGTATGCGCGGATGCGTCTGCTTGTCCTCCATGCGATAGTCCGGATTGGGCGGCGGCGGATAGCTGCCAAACTGATAGTTGGACTGGATCTGGCCGTGGCGCGGCGCGTCGGACGAGTCGTGCGAGGCATGGTGCGGTGGCAGATTCGAACTGGCGCTGGACGAGGCGGCGTGGTGGTGGTCGTCGGCGCCCGCAGCAGCAGCGGCGCCGTGCGAGTGGACGAGCGGCGTTGGACTGTTGTTCTGGCTCATGAAGCGCGACGAGTGGAGCGCCGAGTGGCCTGGGCTTGCAAAGGGGCTTGCGTGGCCCGAGGGGACGGTGGGCTCGATCTGGATGCTGCGACGTCGGGGCGCGTCAAAGAGGCTGGGGCTGGCTAAGGAGGAGCTGGAGCCTGCGCCGTGGGCGTGCGGATGAGCGAAACCGGCGTTTGCGCTTGCCGATGCGGCGAGGGAAGCGTGGAGGATGGGGTCTGTGGAGCCCCTGCGTGCGGGGTTGTAGTGGTATCCATGGTGACGTTCTGCCGAGGGCTCGAGGGGCGGGAGGTGGTTGAGGTGGGGCGGGAGGTGCGAGTGCTGACGCGAACTGGGGTAGTGGTTGGAGGCCATCATGATACGCGGGGCCGGAACGGGTGGCGGGCGCGAGCGACGACGACAACTCGAGTGTGTGCGGCCTTAAATCGCGCTCGGGATGTGGTGAGAGAGAGAAAGAGAGAAAGAGATGCGGCGATTACCGGTGAATTGGGATGCACCCAACGTGGGGAGGAGCGAGGTCGAGTTGAAACTCCAACTCCCACGAGCGTCGCGTAGGTCGAATGAAAGGCGGCTCTGGAGGCCTGTAGGAGGAAGTACCGACCCGAGTAGCGCCACGAAGCGGATTGATGAAGTTGGGCGACGATGGATGCAGGATTCCCAGGCACCGAGTGTCGAGGGTTGAGAATGGAGTGGGCGTGTGAGTCTGGGGATGGAAGGGCGACGCTCGGATGGTTGTGTGCGGATGGTTGCGCCTTGTGGCCGACGAGACGATGATGAGGGGAGAGAAGGAAAGGGGATGTGGATCGTCGGATGAGAGACGAGCGTGGCTGAGCAACGAGCGAGAGAGCGAAAGTGGGAGCCGAGTGGCATTGGGGCCTTTGGGGCCGTTTTTGGGCGACGCTTTTGCAGGACTGGGCGCGCCCTCGCATTTAGTCGGTGCGTCGGCGGAGCAGCCGTGTGGAAGCGGAGCGGAGCAGCAGCCGACAGGCGTGGTGCGTTGCGTTGCGGTCGTGCAGCGTCCGCGCACGCGGCACACCGCCCACACGGCCCAGGCGTGGCATCCAGCCATGCAGCCATGCGGCAAAAACAGAAAAAAGAGGAAAAAAAAAGAAATTGGAATTGGAATTGGAATCGGCACTCCGAGAAGCCGAGAATGACAGCAGTAAGCTGACAGGCGGCTGAGCTGCCAAGAGGGGCGCGCCGACCCGTGCATGGGCGCCTTCGGAGCAGAGGGTTGCCACTGCCCAAAGCGAAAAGAATCGGCCACGCTGACGGCTGCATGGCCGGCTAGCTGGTGACGGCTCCATGCAGCGGATGCATTGCCTTTTCGTCTCGACCCGGTCAATTCTTTTTTTCTCGAGCACGTTTATTGCCGCTTCCAGCCTAGCTTACAGTAGGTCGATCGCCGCGCCTTTTCCGTGGACATTCCAAACCAGCCCCAAGCCGCCGATTGGATGCGATGGGCGCATATGCACATGTGTCCCTCCCCCCCCTCTTGGCTCCGACGACCGTTCGCACCACGCGTCAACACTCCTCGCAAAGACGCCGTGCAAGTGTCCGAAAAACAAAAAAAAAGTCGAACGTCCGGCTACGCCCAACACCGCATCGAGAGCATCCGACCCAACGCGCGCGCGCGCCTCCGCTCCCCTCGCTGCGTGGAAGCGTGGAATGCGTGGCATGAGGCTTGCGTGCGTGGGAACACCAGAATATCCCACACGACGTCGATCAACCACAGCCCAGCCGCGGAGTTGGAATCGGCAAGTGCGAGCATAGCCGGCTCTCTCAGCTACAACTCGGCGGTCTTCGGCCATCCTTCTCTCGCCTCGTTTTTTCAAACTGCGACGACGCCAGAGGGGCCAGACGCAGTGGTAACCAGGTTGGGCCCGCCTCTCACATCCGGACTAATTCTCGGCAACCAATTTTCCTTTTTACCGAGCACACTACCGAAAGCACGCTTGGACCGTAAATGCCTTTTTCAATGCTCCTCCCATTCCCATCCACGCCTTTGCAACATGGCATCCACGAGCCCTGGCCACGTCTTGCTGCCACGCCGTTTTTTTCAGCCAGCCAGGCTGAATTTTTCTTTGAGTCGCTGGGTTGGGATTCTTTTCGCCAAGCAATTTTGGTGCGCCCTTTCGGAATGAATGGCTTCGGCGCATTCTCCGTCATCCCGGCTCACCAGCCGCAGCCGCAGTCTCGCTTGACACTCTTTCGGCCCCTCGTTTCCGAAACCGCACTAGCTGCCGACGACGTCGTTGCGCCGCTCGCTCGCTTCCAGCTCTGCACACACACCTCGCCGGCCGATTAAACGCGATGGTTGTTAGACTCGCCCACCTCCTCTTCTCGCCGCCTTGAGCACGAGCTTACTGTACAACAATAGCACGCCAAGCATTCGCCGGCAGACAAGTCACACCTCCAAACACTCTTTTGCAACCTGCGTTCCGTGATCCGGCGTGATGGCCCCGCGGAATTGTGTGTCCTGTCTTCCGTTCCACCCAGCCCCGTCATTGTTCCGTCTTGTTTGTCCGTTCGCTACGCTTGCTATTCCGAATCCAGTCCGTAGGAATTCAACCCTCCATGCCCAAGTTTTTCACGCCGGGCGGAGGGGTGTGTGTGAAACATTCTTCCTCGGAGCAACGGTGTTCCTACACTTGCCAGTGGCAAAAGGGCGCGGCCCGACGATCCTCAGATCATCCACGCTCCCCGCCTTCCGCCTTCCGAGTTGCCGATGTCTGCGCGTACGCATGCATCCCACCTCCGAGTCGCAGCTGTGATTCCCACGTAGAGCTTCGTACCTGCATCCCCGCGCGCGCGCTGTTTTGTTCGGCCGACTCCCTTCCCCCCCTCCTTGGCTGCGCAACGACGTACCCTCCCATCGGACACGCGAGACTAGTGCATCTTGGCACTAAGCCTGAGTGTGATACCGGCACATAGCGCCAAAAAAAAATTCGCCGGCGCCAAGACCACATCAAGCCGAACCATCGGCACATCCGCATAGCCTAATCCATCTCGCTTCATCCCCCCTTCCAACCCCCCCGATTTCTATCCCCTCCCGATCTCATCACTTCACATTCACATGCGGCTGGTGGGGAGAACTAAACACAATCCATTGAAAACTACATGCTTTTGGTGCTTGGGGTGGAGCTTTTCACTTGTGCGCCTCGGCTTCCTCCTTGACAAAGTACTTCCAGGGCTGAACCTCGGATGGGATCTTGCCCTCTTCGTAGCCACGCAGACAGCCGTGTGGCATCCTGGCCTTGAGCGCATCCACAAACAGCTCGGCGCTGCGAGCCTCGTTGAGCAGCGGAATGCCAAAGTCGACCGCGTTGCGACGCGCCACGTAGTCCTGATCCAGCAAATCGCGGCCGCGGAACTTGGCCAGGTTGATCACAATGTTGATCTCGTGCTCGTCGAATACCTCGCGCAGCTTGCGCTTGTCCTTGACGGGGAATCGGATGCGCTTGGCACGCACACCGTCCAGACTGTTGATGTACTCCTCCACCTCGGCATCCGAACAGTACAGCTTGAAGCCCAGGTCGAAGAGCTTCTTGGCGATACGAGGGAACTGCTCCTTGCTGATGTCACCGCCCATCAGCACACCGGTGTTGGCCTGCGGAACGCGGAATGCAGTCTGAGATGCGATACTCGCCCATGCAGCCTCGTACAGGTCCTTGCCGAACGAAGCCACCTCGCCCGTCGACGCCATCTCGACGCCCAGGTACGGGTCCGCACCCGCCAGACGCGTCCACGAGAACTGCGGCACCTTGATCGCCACATAGTCGCGCTCCTGAGCCATGAGGTCCACCGGCTCCGGCACGTCCTTGCCCACAATCGCGCTCGTCGCAATGTCGATAAAGTTGACGCCCAGCACCTTGCTCACGAACGGGAACGAGCGCGACGCACGCAGGTTGCACTCGATCACCTTGAGCGGCGCCTCGGTCTCGCCCTCCGTAGGCGGCTTGCGGATCACCTGCATGTTGAACGGTCCGCTGATGTTGAACGCCTTGGCCACCTTTTGCGCAATCACCTTGAGACGCGCCAGGTCGTTCGGGTCCAGCGAGAACGGCGGCAGCACCAGCGTCGCATCGCCCGAGTGCACACCTGCATTCTCGACGTGCTCTGACACGGCGTGCACCAGCAGCTCGCCCTTGTACGCCACGGCGTCGACGTCGATCTCCTGCGCATTGTCGATGAACTTGGAGATGACCACGGGGTAGTCGGTGTTCACCTCGGCCGCCGCCGTGAGGTGGTGCTCGAGCGTCGACTCGTCCCAAATCACGTTCATCGCCGCACCGGACAGCACGTACGACGGACGCACGAGCACCGGGTACTCGACACGGTTGGCAAACTCCTTGGCCTTGTCCACGCTCGTCGCCTCGGTCCACTCGGGCTGGTCCACGCCGACGTTGTCGAGGATCTGCGAGAACTTGTGCCTGTCCTCGGCCGAGTCGATCATGAGCGGGTCCGTGCCCAGCACGTTGACGCCCGTCTCCTTGAGGCGCAGCGCAATGTTCTGCGGCAGCTGACCGCCCACGCTCACCACCACGCCCTGCGCACCCTCGAGCTCGTAGATGTCCATGACGCGCTCGAAGCCGAGCTCCTCAAAGTACATGCGGTCCGCCTCGTCAAAGTCGGTCGAGACGGTCTCGGGGTTGTAGTTGACCATGATGGTGCGGTGGCCCATGTCGCGCACCTTGCGCGCACACGTCACCGCACACCAGTCGAACTCGACCGACGAGCCGATGCGGTACACGCCCGAGCCGAGCACCATGGTGCCGTCGTTGTCGAACTCGACGTCGTGCGTCGAGGCGTTGTAGGTGGTGTAGAGGTAGTTGGTCTGCGCCGGGTACTCGGCGGCGACCGTGTCGATGCGCTTGACGAACGGCGTGAGGCCGAACGCCTTGCGGTGGGCGCGCACCTCGTGCTCCTTGGAGTTGGTCAGCTTGGCGATCTGCTTGTCCGAGAAGCCGCGCTGCTTGGCGAGCTTCATGAGCTCCTTGTCGACGGCCGAGAGCGAGCCGAGCGCTTCGAGCTGGCGGTTGATGTCGACAATGTTCTGCAGCTTGTAGAGGAAGAAGCGGTCGATCTTGGTGAGCGCGTGCAGCCTCTCCACGTCGTAGTTCTTGACGAGCATGGCGTAGGCGATGGCAAAGAGGCGCGTGTCGGTGGGCACCGAGAGCGCATGGTCGAGGTCCTCGGGCGCAATGTAGGCGTCGAATCCGTCGTAGGCCGGGTTGACCTGACGGATGGCCTTCTGGAGCGACTCCTCGAAGGTGCGGCCGACGGACATGACCTCGCCGACCGACTTCATGCTCGAGCCAACCTCGCGGTTGACGTGCTGGAACTTGCTGAGGTCCCACTTGGGGATCTTGGTGACGACGTAGTCCAGCGCGGGCTCGAAGCACGCCGTGGTGGTCTTGGTCACGGCGTTGGGCAGCTCGGGGAGCGTGTAGCCGAGCGCGAGCTTGGCGGCGGTGTAGGCGAGCGGGTAGCCGGTGGCCTTGGAGGCGAGCGCCGACGAGCGCGACAGACGCGGGTTCACCTCGATCACGCGGTACTCGCGGCTGTCCGGGCTGAGGGCGTACTGGATGTTGCACTCGCCGACGATGCCGAGGTGGCGGATGACCTTGAGGGCGGCGGAGCGGAGCATGTGGTAGTTGTCGTCGGACATGGTCTGGGAGGGAGCGACGACGATCGAGTCGCCGGTGTGGATGCCGAGCGGGTCGAAGTTCTCCATGTTGCAGCAGATGATGGCGTTGTCCTCCTGGTCACGCAGCACCTCGTACTCGGACTCCTTCCAGCCCTTGAGCGACTTTTCGACGAGGATCTGGGGGCTGAGGGAGAGGGAGCGGGCGGAGAGGTCGCGCAGCTCGTCCTCGTTGTCGGCGAAGCCGGAGCCGAGACCGCCGAGCGCATAGGCGGCACGGACGATGACGGGGTAGCCGATCTCGGCGGCGGCCTTGAGCGCCTGGTTGACGGTGGAGACGGCCTCTGACTTTGCGACAGGGATGTTGATCTGGTCGAGCGCCTGGACGAAGAGGTCGCGGTCCTCGCACATGCGGAGGACGTCGACCTGGGAGCCGAGCACCTTGACGCCGAGGCGGTCAAAGACGCCCATCTCGTCGAGCTTGACGCCGACGTTGAGGGCGCTCTGGCCGCCAAAGGTGAGGAGGACGCCGTCGGGGCGCTCCTTTTCGAGGACGTAGGCGACGTATTCGGGGGAGATGGGGAGGAAGTAGATCTGACTTGCGAGGTGGTGGGAGGTCTGGATGGTTGCGATGTTGGGGTTGATCAGGATGGTCTCGATGCCGGACTCGCGGAGCGCCTTGATGGCCTGGGAGCCGGAGTAGTCGAACTCGCCGGCCTGACCGATGGAGAGACCGCCGGAGCCGACGAGGAGGACCTTCTTGACGTCGGAGCGCTCCACCTTGGGGAGGTACTTGCTCCACTTTTGCAGGCCGGTTGCGGCGGGCTGGATGTCCTCGACGGCGGCCTTGGCGGCGGCGGTGGGCGCGGGTTCCTTGAGCAGGGCGGATGTGGAGAATCGCGAACGGAAGATCTTGGTGCCCGAAGTTGCGAGGCTGGCGCGGTGCAACGAGGCGGTTGCGGCCTGGCTGTGAAGGCTGCGAGCGACGCTGGGCAGCTTGAGGTTGGAGGTGGAAGCGACCTGCGAGGCGGCCGAGTTGGCGCCTCGCGACAAGGCTCGCACACTTCGATACATGGTTGTCGAGAGAACGACTCGAGGAGCTTGTCACCACCGCTTGCGGTTTCGTCGAGCTATCTTATCTCTGATACCAGGACACCGTTTGTGCGACTCTGGGGAGCGGGGAGCGGAAACCTCGATGCGAGATGCGAGATGGAGGGAGTAGGAGTGGATCTGTGCGTACGACCGCGGCCAGGGTCTGCTGCGTTGCCGATCTCCGGGGTAGTTGCCACGATGGTTCTTGGAGGATGGAGGGAGGGGGGAAGGATAGCAAGACCAAAGCCGGACTGATATCCGGACGGCGGCCACTGCCCGCGCTGACTCGGATTCCTAGTCAGAGTGCTGCAAGAGAGAAAAAATCCGTGACTGCCGCAGAAGCGAAGAAGAAAAAAAAATCTCTCTCTGCTGCTGCTGCTGCTGCTGCCGCTGCCGCTGCTTTTGTTTTTGCTCCGGCTTCTTGTCTGGAAGAAGACGATCCGCTCCTCGCTCTTGCCTCTCCCTTCCCTGCTCCGTGCATGGATCCCGGTCCTGCCACTGTTTCGGTTGGCCCTGTCGCACGTGCATCTCAACGCCAGCTGTCATGGACATGTCAAACATCGAAAGGAAGACAGATCCGACCCGAGATGATGTGGATGCCATCGCCCCAAGCTGGTCCGGTCGATCACTTTTGGGTCGGTGCCCGCTCTCTCCGCCCCGAAATGCTGCTCGCTGATTGGCTGCGCTTTCGCTGTCTGGCGCTGCGGTGCGTGCAAAGTTTGATTCTGATTGGGTCTGAGATTGTGCCTTTCGAGCGCTGTGACGGGCGAGTGACTCGGTCGGCCTCAAAGCTCTATTTCAAACGCGGATTTTCTTCTGAAATCGCAGCCCTAAATTACGTTTGGAGGCTGCAGCGCCTGGAAGCTGATCCGCGCGCACCCACGCTTATCGCTCGCTGCGTCCCTGTCATGGGCCCAACCGACTCAATCGTGAATGATGTCTGAGCTGCGAATCTGATTCGAGTTGTTCAGAGTGCTCGACATCCCTTCAGCTCGCTAGCTTCTGTAGCGATGGCTTCAGCGCAGCTCCTTCGCTAGATGCGCAATCACTTGATACCCTTCGGCCTTCACCAAGGAGCATCGTGAATTTCGCGTTTGGTGATGGACGCCGTTGCAAGACGAGTATTCGCGGTAGTCAGGATAGACCCGGTCGCATGCCCAGCAGCGATAATAGGGCTGTGTCTGGGAGAGCGCATCGGCTCGCTGGTTGAGAGCCTTGATTTGCTCTTGAACCTGTTCCCATGTCATTGTCGGAGGAGTCATTGTTGCAGGATTCATGAGGACCGGCAATGAGTGTAAGGTAGACGACGTCTGGCGCTCGACATGCACGAGTCCGATCCGTGTGCGACGATCTCACTTGGCAGCAGCGTGCATGACCAAAGACCGCGGCCAAAGGTGCAGCCCCAGCCTTCCCCTTAGGGGCGCACGCCGGCTTTTGCCTGCCCCAGTTCATCCACTCCGCGCCTTGGCCAAGCCTGCTAGCCATCGTCCTTTGGCTACTAGCGTCCATTGGCTACTAGACATGGAAGCTGGTCGAGTCATCTAACTTACACTCATCCTTTAGAGCTCAGGGCAGGTCTGTCGTTATCAGCGTGATTGACTCTGCCCCGCGCGTTGCCCCGAATGTTGCCCCGAGGGTCAAAGGTGCGGGGAATGGACGTGGAGTAAGATCGAACCCGATCACCACGCCAGCTTGCTGAATCGGGAGATGAATTCGAAGTCTAACACTTTGAAACGAGGTGAAGGCCTTCCCGCACTCGTGCATCCCGCATCGCCAGCTGTCGTCGTCTTCCGCACCGAGGCGGGCGAAGATGGCTTTGTGCGACACCGGCTATGATCAAGCTTCTGAGCTACGCTGAGCGTGGGGGGAAAAGCGGGCGAGTGCTTCCCGCACCTTTCCGCACCTCGATCCGCTTTCAACGCTACCCGCACCTCCTGGAGCGGTCCGCAACCCGAGCTCAAAGCTATAAGACCCCGCCCGACTGCGACTGAGCTCGTCACTCACTTCCACATCCTACTCCCACTCGACTTCAGCCCCAACAGCCTATAGCACATCTTACATCACTATCCCGACATCGATACTACCCACCATGGTCAAGAACTTCTACGACAGCGACACCGAGGTCGACGAGCTTACCGACGTCGACGTCAAGAGCCCCAAGAAGGCCAAGAAGCAGACCAAGAAGGAGGCCAAGATGGAGGTCAAGCTCCAGCTCGGCGATGCCAGCCCTACCAAGCGCAAGCGCACCACTGGAACGTAAGTCAACGAAGCCTGTCATCTCGAAGCTCGTCTATTGACCACCCAGCCTTTGCATGCTCCTTGATCTGCTTGACAGCGCACGCAATGCTTGGGTAAGCTACACTGACCAGCACGAATTCGCTTCCCAAGTTGCCCAGGTTCGGCGCGCTGAAGCTTAGCGTTTTGCAATGCGCTTGTGATAGACGACGGAGGAGGAGCTCGCTCTGATCGACTGCATGAACGCAGTGCTCGTCTCGACCATGAGCAGCAACATCAAGAACTACCCCGAGTAAGTTCCCGCCCTCACATCACGATATCTTCCCAGAACTGACGTGGATCAAGCTCGCTCTCGCTTTGGGGTATCGTTAGGCTGGCGGCTCGAGGTACTACGGGCTGCCTGTCGCACTGGTACGCCTGGCGCCGAAAGCAGGAGATCGCTCTCATCGGTACCACCACCATCGACAAGAACGGAAAGAAGCTCCCCGAGTTCGCCTCGCCCAAGAAGGACGAGTGAGCCTACTCACGTCACGGTGCACATCCTTCCGTCGATGCACAGGCTACCACGACAGACATTGCTACACAGGATGAACAATTGCATTCTCGCCATTCCGCAGGGGGGCTAGGCGATTTGGAACTCGTCGGCGCCGTGTGCGCCGAGCACGCCGTATTTCTTGCTCATCTTGCCGAGAGCTCTGACCTTGGCGTACATCCTAGCCTCTGCATCTGTCTGTTTGGCCTTATCACCCGCGATACCCGCGGCAGCTGCGGCCCTAGCTGCCTCCCTGGCCAACTTCTTGCTCCTGTTCGATCCATCGGCATTTGCAACGATGCTTTCCGTAAGCTTGGCCAGTGCAGCCTTGTCGAGTTCGAAGCCGTCGGTCTTGTTGCGCTTGGCGCGCGTCTCGTAATCCGATCCCCCATCTTCATCATCCGAATCTGAATCCGAGTCTGAATCGGATCGTGCGCGTTTGTCTCCCGTTGAAACGGTCTTTGCTTCGAACTTGGTTGAGGCTGTTGCGAGGGAGGCGCTTTTGGCTCCGAGAGAGCGAGGCGCCTCGCGGAGGGCAAACGCCTTGGCAAGGTGACCGAGATGAAGAGCGCGCACGTTGAAGTATTGCTTTTCGTCGGCAGAGTGCGTGGCATACGCCCGAACGTGCGAGAGAAACGCCTTGCGTGCAAACAAACTCGGCCCCTCGCCCGAAATCACCCATCGCTCAAAGGCTAGTTGCACCCCAGTGGCACGAGACTGGTACTCCAACGTCCCCGACGCTCCTCCAAACCCTTGCTGCAAGACTACCTCGATCGAAGCAGGACTGATCTTCTTGACCTGACCCTGATTCTTAGACTCCACCACTGCATCGTCACCCACAGTGGCTTGAATCGTCATATTGGCTTCCAGCACGTTGTCCACCCATCCAAGCTCTTGCGGTAGAACCATAAGCCAGCTCTCACCGGGTCGTCCCACACGTGCGGTACGACCAACGCGATGCAGATACTCCTCGATACCCCCCTCCGTGGGCGGGTCGAGTTGAATCACACACCCCACATCCGGCAAGTCGAGACCTCGACTAGCCACACTCGTACACAGCAGAATGCTGCCCTGGAAGCCGACCGGCGCTGCATCCTTGGCGTTCTTCTTGCCCGAAAAGCCGCGCAGACTCGCAATACGCTCCTGCTGGCTCATCGAACCGTGCAGTCGGAAAATGGGTACGCCCGGGATGAGTTCCGAGTTGGTATGCGCCGGCAGCTGCTCGTCCTCCACCTCGACGTTGGCATCGGGCGCGTTTTCGTCGGCGTTCATCTTGGCACCGCCCAGAGCGGCGTAGTGGAAGTCGACCGAGTCGGTACAGCTCATGAATACGATGACTCGGCCAGCGCCTGCCTGTCGCAGGGCCGGGTCGGCGTTTTCGGACTGACGACGTGCGCGCGAAATGTACGCACGCAGCAGGGAGAGAAGCGTCACCAGCCTGAGCTTGGGAGGCGTCGCCACGAAGCTCTGCGCGAGCTGCGCGGGCGCTGCGAACTTCTTTGGCTCCTTGTCCGCCTTGCTCGCCTGGTCTGCTGCAGCATCGGGCGATGCAGAATCGGCGGCATCGTTGGTGGGCTCTGCATCGTCTTTGATTCCACGGACGATCTTGGGGTTGATGAGCGTCTTGCCCGCCAGCACCTGAACATTCTCGTCGAGTGTGGCCGAGCAGAGCACGACGCGCCTCGGATGCGCCCACCACGTCATACCCAATGTGTCCATGACATCCGAGTCGGCAATCCAGTCCGCATCTCCGGGGGCGGTGGCCTCTTCGAAGCCGGGCATGGCGTGACGCGCGGCGGTGCATGCGAGGTTACGGCGGCCGTCGAGAGCTCGGACGATTCCGGTGAGCTGCTCCTCGAAGCCCATCTCGAGCAGGCGATCGGCCTCGTCGAGCACGAGCCATCTGCACTTGCCCACGTCGAAGCTCGACGTGTTCTGCAGATGGTCGAGCAGCCTTCCTGGGGTGGAGACGAGGATCGGACAGCCCTTTCGCAGTCGCTGCTTCTCGTGGTTCTTGGTGGAGCCACCTGAGAGCAAGCCGGGCACGAGCCAGCGCGTGCGTCGCACTGCACCGTCATCATCCTGCTTCTGCTCCTTGAGACTGAGTGCGAGCGAGACGAGCTTTTCGAGCACCTCGTAGATCTGCCTGGCGAGTTCGCGGGTGGGAGCGAGGATGATGGCGAGCGTGCCGACGGATCTGTCGATGAAGGACTCCTCGCAGAGGGGCAAGAGGCTCTGGACGATGGGAAGGAGGTAGGTGAGCGTCTTTCCCGAACCGGTCTGAGCCTGGATGAGGATGTCGCGGTCGAGACCCGGGTGGAGGAGATGCGGAAGCGCTGCCTGCTGGATCGAGGTGGGATTGGAGCCGATCTTCATCTTGGACGCCAGGTGGTACACAAGCAAGGGGTCGAGGCCGAGCTCGGCGAAGTTGGACGCGGCCGAGGGTGCGTTGGTGGGGTCGTATGCTTTGCGTTGGAAGGGCAGGAGGGCCGTGTTGGGATCCTCGATGACTCCGTGTGCGGGGAAGAGCGCACTGACGACACCGCCGCTGGCCGATTTGGGGTTCGAAGATGACGGTCCTGCGCTCGGAGCTGATTGTACCTGAGCGGGTGCCGATGGCTTGACCTTGCGCGACGAAGCCGCTGCAGACGTTGCCGCTTTGCTTGTAGAAGGCGCCGAGCGAGGATCGAAGCGTGGGAGGATGGGAGCAGGAGCAGCAGGAGCGCTTGCAGTCTGTGGCTCTACCCTCTGCTTCTGGGCCACGGTACGAGAAGAGGACGGTGCAGCTGGTGCTGGAGTGGCATTCCCATTGGGTGTCGTCGCGATCTGCTTTGCCTCGCTCCTCCTGAGCTGCTGTGCGGTCCTCTTTTGCGCGAAGCGTGCCTTGGCGGTCTGCTTGGGACGCTTTGCTGCACCTGCTGGCGATGCTGCTGCAGGTGCAAAGTTGAGCATGAGCCCATCGTCGTTGTCGTCCATCTTGACTGTAAGTGAGGATTGGATGGTCGAGAGCGGAAGCAAAGATGTGATTGCTCGCCCGACAGCCTGTCTTTGTGTGGTTGCACCAAAAGTCACGTCAGGGTCCTTTGCTTCTGCTGTGCTTTGAAATTCTCAAAACTTTCTTCCTGCTGCTGCTGCTGCTGCCCCGCTCGGATTTTTATTTTTTCGCCTTTTCCGTCTTCCGAGCCGAGGGGCAACGCCAAAAAAAGCGGGCAGCAGGCGGCTTTCAGCAAATTCAGGGTCGGCCTCAAAGGACGATGCAGAAGCAGGAAAAAAAAAAGTCCGAAATTTTTGCTTTTGCGTTGGCTTTTGAGGCGGCACTCCAGCCAAGGCCAGGCCAACCACTTCTCACCAACTCTGGCACCAGTGGCGACTCTGCTTTCAGATCCCACCACCATCGTCGTCTCAAAGCAGGTCTCGGACGACAAGCAAGGCAACCATGCCGCCAACAACATCCCCGGCCGTCGTCAAGGCCAGTCCGCTCATCAACGAGGGCGGCCTCGTCCACCGCAGCCGCGCACGAGGTCTCCTCAACGCAGACAACCTCCCCGCACTCCAGAACCTGCTCAAGCGTCAGCCCGAAGCATACGTCGAGGAGTTCTCCGCACAATGGAACCACTACCAGTCGCTCCGCAGCATCTTTGCCTCCGACCTCGACGCCGGCCTCGCCATCGCTTCCGCAGGCATCCGCATCAACAAGGACCAGGCGAGCAAGTTTGTATCGCTCATCTCGTTTGTCACCCAGCTCGCTCCGTCCTACCCAGAGATCACGCGTGATCTGCCAGACCACCTCTCCGATTTGCTCCTCAACCACCACGCCGCACTCAGCCCCGACATCCGCGCAAGCTGCCTCCGGAGCTTGATCCTCCTCCGCAACCGCGACGTCATCACCTCCGAGCAGCTCCTCCAGACCCTCTTCCCGCTCCTCAGCGTCACAACCTCGGCCGCCGTCAGGACGTCGGTACAGGCGACCATCCTCCAGGACATCAAGAACGCAAATGCAAAGTCCAAGAACCACCGACTCAACCGTGTCGTCCAAGGCCTTCTCTTTGGCATCGTCCAAAAGGGCATCGATGCCTCCTCCGGTGCTTCCGCCCTGCCTCCTCCCAAAAAGGGCCAGTCGGCCGGCAAGACCGAGGCGCTCTGGGCAGTGCGTCTGGCCGCCAACCTGTGGAAGAAGCAGATCTGGACCGACAGCAAGACCGTCTCGCTGCTGGCGCTCGGCTGCTTCCACCCGCATCCGCGCGTCCAGTCGTCGGCCGTGCGCTTCTTCCTCGGCGACCTCCACTCGGCCGAAGACGACGCCGAGGAGTCCGGCTCGGACGACGACGAGGGGCCGGATGTCGATGCGCTCATGCACGCGCGCAAGGTCAACAAGAAGACGCGCTCCGGCGACAAGAAGATGCGCGCCGCTGCCGCCGTCGCCAAGAAGAAGCGCAAGGCCAAGGCGGAAAACGCACTGAACGGCAGCGACAAGGATACGGGCAACTTTGCTGCGCTCTACCTGCTCAACGACGCGCAGAACTTTGGCGAGAAGCTGTTCGACAACCTCAGCCGCGGCGATCGCGAGAAGCGCCACACGATCGAGATCAAGATCCGCCTCATGCAGCTGCTCAGCCGCGTCATGGGCGCGCACAAGCTCTGCGTGCTCAGCTTCTACTCGTACGTCGTCAAATACCTCGCTCCGCACCAGCAGCACATCACCCACATCCTCGTCTCGCTCGCACAGAGCGTGCACGACCAGACGCCGCCCGACGTCATCACCCCCGTCGTCCGCAAGCTCTCCGACGCATTCGTGCATCCCGGAGTCAGCTCCGAGGTCGTCGCGGCGGGCATCAACAGTATCCGCGAGATCTGCAAGCGCCAGCCATGGGCTATGGACGAGACGCTGCTCGAGGACCTCATCAGCTATCGCAAGAGCAAGGACAAGGGCGTCTGTGCCGCCTCGCGCGGTCTGCTCGCTCTCTACCGCGAGGTCAACCCGGCCATGCTCAAGAAGAAGGAGCGCGGAAAGATGGGTGCGCTTGCCGTCCAAGAGGGTCGAGCGGCCGCGCCGTTCGGTGTCGATCAAGACGAGGTGCACGGAATCCAGGGCATCGATCTGCTCGAGAAGCATCTCGAGGAAGAGCAGCGCAAGGGTGGTGAAGACGATGGCGAGGATGCCGACGACAAGGGCTGGGAGGGTTGGGAGGAGGAGTCGGATTCGGACGATTCGGATGCCGAGTCGGAAGGTGGATGGATCAACGTCTCGAGTGATGATGAAGACGGTGTGTTGCGTCTTTCGGATTCGGACTCGGATGATGACGACGAGACGCGCAAGCGCAAGTGCACGGTCAAGGAACGTCTCATCGCCGCGCGCGAGTCGCGTCAAAAGAAGCGCGCCAAGCTCGAACGCCACACCGCCCGCCAGGCTCGTCGAGACGCAGGCGAAGACGTAGCGACCTCCGACTCTGAATCCGAAGCCGAAGCTGCTGATTCCGATGCTGAAGACGACACCACCACTGGCGCTTCCGAGCTCAAGCAGCAACTAGCTGCCGAAGAGCAGCACATTTCCAAACTGGCTACCACCAAGATCCTCACCCCCGCCGACTTTGCCAAGCTGACTGAACTGCGCATTGCCGCAGCTGAAGAAGCGATTGCCCAGGGCGGTCTAGCCGGCAACCGTGCCAAGCGTCAACTCGAAGAACTCAAGTCCCTCAAGCGAACTACATCGCTCGCAGGAAACTTTGTCGACGAAGGCGATATTCTTGGCCCAAGGAAGAAGGCCAAGGCAACGTACGAGGACCGTATGGCTTCCATCGAAAAGGGCCGAGAAGACCGCGAAAAGTACGGCTCCAAAAAGGGAAAGAAGAACAAGGAAAAGGAATCCTCCTCCACCAACCGCGAAAAGCAAAAGACCAAAAACTTCCAGATGATCGCAAGATCCTGGTCCGTCCGCTCAAAGAAGAACGCAAGTCTCAGAGAGAAGAGTCGCCGTCTCCGAAAGCACGTCGAAACTTCCAAAAAGCGTCTCAAGTAGAACCAAAGCTCCCTCCCCGTCTCTGCATTCCCTTTCGTGTTCTGCAATCTCACTTCATGCCATCCATCTCCCGTCCAAATCCGTGTCCATCCTCCCCTGCACCAACCAAGCCATGGGAGAAAAACGACTTGCAATGACAGACACTCGAGACGACTATATACACGCATTGCCAAACCGGAACCAGAAGACTGCCGCTCTATCCGCACGCCGGCTTGGGCGCATCAGTTGAGCACGCCGCGCCGGTTGCGATGTTGGTGGCTCTCTGTGAACCGGAGGACAAAGTTGACCACCACCGCCGACAGGATGGCCGCACAGAGGATCGTGGGCCCGTACGCGTCAAAGTAGATGTGGCTGCTTTCGCGCTTGCGAATCTTGAGCGCACGGATGACAAAGATGACGCCCGAGTACGCAATGCCCACCAGCGCCACGATCGTGAAGAACGAGCTGGCGATCAGACCCGTACGGTCTCCGGGCGAGCTAAAGTTGAGCAGACCCACCGCGAGCGCCGAGAGGTACACGTTGAACTCGAGCCACTTGAGGAAGGTGCGCTCGTTGGCAAAGTACACCTTGGGCTCGATGCGGATGGGCACGCTCACCTTTTTGCCCGGCTGCGCGTGGAAGTCGCGCACATACTCGACGTTGGGTCCGCGCGGCACCTCTTCGTCCTGCCCCTCGAGCGCGCGTCGTGCGCGCTCGTCCTCGTCGTCCGCCTCGGCATCCGTGTGGTCCTCGTCGTGCTCGTGGCTCGACCCCTTGGTCCTCCAGAGCCTCTGGATGTTCTTGGGCGTGAGCTTGGAGAAGAACTGGTTGTCGTACCGATGCGACGGCGCCAGGATCTCTTCGCGCGACGGCGCCGCCGCCTTGGACTTGGTCTGCGACGCCCGCCGTTCCGTCGCCAGCGCCGCCGAGGCCACCGCAAGCATGCCGCCAGCCACGTTGGACGTCTTGTCCGGGTTTTCCCGGTCCGGGTTCTCCCGGCGCAGGCTCTCGAGCTCCTGCTGGCGCAGCTTGATGTTGCGCTCGCGCTCCTCTCTCGCCTCGCGGATGCGCGGGTCGAAGGCCGAGATGCCGACATTGTCCGCCTCGTGCGTCTCGTCGGCCATGATCTGCCCGCGGTCGTCCTCGTCGTCGCCCGCCTCGAACTCGTCTTCGGAAACCGGCTCGTTGTACGGCTGGTGGCTCGAGCGCGACGCAGGCGTGTCAGGTCGCGACGAGCCAGCGGGGCTGTGCACCATGGAGCTGGGTCGTTCGATGGCGAGGTGGTGAGTGGGCGGCTTGCGGATGTCAATGTCCATCTGCGGCAGCCAGAAAGGAACCAAGTCGACACGGTTGGGCAGCAAGGTGGCACATCCGTGGATGAACTTGGAGAACTTGGGCACGGCCTCTACCAGATGGCTCGAGACCAGATCGCGGATCCACTGCGGAGGCTCCTGACCCAACTGAGTCTGCAGCTTGACCTCAAGGACGCCGTAGGGGAAGCGCTCGATGTCCTCGGCGGGCAGCTGATCGAAGGGGTAGTCGATGCCGATGTCCATGCGCCTCCAGTTGTGGCCGGCGCGCTGACGGCCGTCCCAGTTGTCTTCGCGGACGAGCGAGAGTTCGGTGTCGAGCGAGATGCGCACACGTGCGTCGCCGGGGAGCTGGAAGGCGGTGCGGTTGTAGAAGCTGCGCATGACGGGCTGGAGCTTCTGCGTGAGCACCGAGTACTGCACCTCGTTGGCGAGCTGGAGCATCGAGTCGATCTCCTTGTCGGACTTCTTGCCCTTCTTGCGAAGCGCCTCGAAGGTCTCGTCCATGGTGTAGTCGCCACGCATCCAGGCGTTGACGTTCTCCTCCTTGATGGGGAAGCGCGCCTTGACCGACTTTTCGCCGGTCCAGTCTTCGCGATGCGTCTTGCGCTCCACAAAGATCTGCTTGTTGTCCATGCCTCCGTACCATCGCAGACGGATGGCCTCTGCACCCTCCGTCTTTTCGAGACGGCCGAGGTAGAGCTCGAGGTCCTCGTTGTCGTAGTAGATCGAGGTGATCGCCGAATCCTCCTGCTGATACTCTTTCTCGGAGTTGAAGACGAGGACGGGAAGGTGCTTGAGGATGACGAGCTTGAGAGGCACGATGTTATCGGGGTGCACCCAGTACTTGGTGGTCTGGCGCACGAAGGCCGACTGGTTGCCGCCGGCGCTCGAGTCGCCCTGGACGGGGTTGCCGCGGGTGCGAACGAGGTCGAAGAGCTTGGAGAGCTTGACGATGAGCTGGTCGTAGTTCTCCTTGTAGAAGGGGCGCGAGGAGAGGTAGTGCTGTACGAACTCCTTGCGGAGGAGACGGCCGGTCTGCTTGTCGTGCTTCTTGACGATCTTGTGGAAGCCGGTGTAGTTGAGCTTGGTGAAGAGGGCGAGGTCGTGTACGTCTGCGATGATGATGGCGAGGCGCTCTTCGAGCTCGAGGAAGCGCTCCTCGTAGGCGTCGCTGTCCTCGGTGTCGGTGTCAAACTCGTCGTCGGAGCCGGCGTCGTGAGCTGCGTAGACGTTGTTGCCGTCCGGGCCGACGCTTCTGCGTTTGCGATGCGATCCGTCCTCGCCCTCGGTGTCGGAGCCGCCGCGGGAGGAGGGACGAGAGTTGGCGCGCGAAGGGAGCGAGGTGGAGGAGTTGGGACGCGACGAGACGAGCAGGTTGACTTCGGCCTGGGCCTGCTTGATGCGCTCAGTGAGCTCTTTGACCTTGACCTTTTGGAAATCGTAGACCTTGTCGAGCTCCTTGCTGAGGATGGCGACGAACTCGTCCTCATCCTTGTCTGTCCAAGTGCCGTTGTTCTTTGCCATGCGGTTCTTGATCTCCTTCTTGAGCTCCGAGTACTGGAGGTACTTGTCGGCCCACTCGGCGTAGAGCGAGGTCTTGATGGTGCGACCGAACTTCATGGTGACGATGGATCCAGAGCGAGTGTGAGCAGGACAAGTGGTGAAAGCTGTCTCGGGTGAAAGGTAGACGAGTTTGCCTGTGCTCGCAGCAAGGCAGAGCGGATGGCTAGGTAGGCGGCTTCACGTGAAGGTCGCGGTCGGAGATGGCTGCAGGCCGAGGTGGATGTGCGTGTATATCAGATGCAGCGTAGGCAGAGATGCTGAGGGATGGCGCGCCAGCTGCAGACGAGACAAGGTGATCCTGGCGAGGGTGCCAGATACGAAGGGCTTGGGAAGGGCGCGAGAAGATGGTGGAGTGGGCGAGCGAAGAAGCTGGTCGGAAAGGCGGCCTGAGCGGTGACGGGTCGGCGAGGCCGATGCGCAGAGGAGCCAATGCACGATGCAGCGGAAGCACCGATGGAGCGCCACAGCAGTGAACAGAACAGAAGCGGATGAGCCTAGTGGGCGAAAGAAAGAAGAGAGAGAGTGAGAGCCGCACGAGGGAGAGAAAGGAAGACAGACAGGTGCATCGGAAGCAGAAGCGGCTCAGGACGCGAGCCGAGCATGGACCATGATCAATCACAAGCACCTCGATGCGTGCATTTCACACAGAGCTGCAGGCGAGCCACCAAAAACACAATTTCTCAAAATGACGCCTGGCTGGGGGCGTGTGGAATTTTGCGGCGAGGCCGATGCAGCAGGAGCAGGCGCTGCTGCTGCTCGCTTTCGAGCGGGAATTTCGATTTGCAGGCGGTCGACAAGGGAACGTGCCAAGACTGCATCTGGCTCGCTCCACTTGTCACATCGCGCCCTCTCGCAAAGCTTGGTCTGGATTCGGAGCAGCCGAAGCAGACAAGCCCAGGCACCATCGTAACTCTGAGCGTCCCTGCTTTGCATGCTCAGAGCTCACGACCGGTGTCTTGGCCGAGCTTGGCATGCTCATGGAATCACGCGGGACGTAGAACCGTGCGGCAACGTGGGAGGCCATCCCACGTTGGCGACTTTGCACATCTGTTTGCATCGCGACCCGCCTTGTCGATCTCTGCCCTCGTCTAGCCTGTTCCACGCCGCTCCAGTCAGAGCGCCAACATGCAGCCTCATCCGCCAGCCCAATCACAAGTCTGAGCTGCCTCTTCGGGAATCCAACCGACGGCCCGGCTTCGGCCCATCCGCGAATCCGGCCCTCAACTGCCGCTTCTCCCGAGCCGCTCGAGACACCCACCCATTCTATGAACCCAGCCTCAGCGTCCGAAGGCTCGCCGTGGTGCTGTACTGAACTCCCTCCTTGCCGTTCTCGCTCTCATGTTTCGCTCCCACGCTTGCTGCGCATGCTCGACGGTCGATGATTGTAGCCCAGTGGTGCCGTGAAAATGAAATTCGCCGTCGAGTCGACGCCCAGCGCTTTTCGAGCCCAGCAGCGAATCACCGCGCTCCGTTGATCCACGTGCCCTCTTTGCCAACTCGCCCCGCCTCGCTTGACGGGCTTCTATCGCTAAATTCGCCCATTCGCACGCATCACCCGATACACAGCTTCGAATCCCGATCAATACCACCTTCCCCTTCGCTCCTCAACCTCCATCTTCGCACTCACACAGCCGAACACCTACCCACGGCTTCGCCATCACATACATCCACAGTCGTCCGGTCGCACAAGATGCCAAAGCGAATGCTCCGATTCCATGCGAAAAAAGGGTATAAAAGTGCTGGCACTCGCCAGCCGTCTCTGAAGGTATATCCAGAAATGTAGCTCCTAGTCCGGCTGCGTACCGCGGCGGCGTACGCTAGCTATTGAGAAGACCCCGGATGGCCATGCGACCGGCGCCCTCGGGTGCGTCAGCCAGCGCAACCTTGTCGTCGTGTGCCTGACGCAGCATCTGCTCCTGCTGCTGCTGTTTGGTGTTGGCGAGCGTCTCGCGCGCCTCCTGCAGCACCACGCTCGACGGGCGCGACGACGCTGCCCAGGGCTCCATCTCGACGTCCTCCACCATCTGCGCACGCACCCGGCCGGCCGCACGCGGACTGGTCGAAGCATCCGGCTGCATGCGCCTCAGCACGTGCGCGTGCGCTTCTTCGCCCGCCCCATCCATCTCGGCCTGCGGCATCGAGTTGGAACGGCGAGGCGAAGACGATTCGAGCCCGCCGATCGTGTGTCCACGAAAGCGCCCGAGCGCCTGCACTCGCTCATCGTTCGCACCACCGCCCAGCTTGGTCTGCAGCACCGACGGCATGTCGACACGGGTGCGGTCCGACGACGAGCCGCTGATCCTGCGATCCGAGAGCGGAGTCGAGTACGGTGCATACGCAGTCCGCGCATTTGCCTCATTGCGGCTCGCACCGATCGACGTCTTGCGGCTCACCGGCGCGGTCAAGGCGTGCTGGCTCGGACCCACACGGCGGTGCTCCACCGCAGTGGGATCCATCGAGTCCGAGTAGCTTCGCTGTCGGCTGAGTGTCTTGTGCTGGCTGATCTCCGCCGAGGAACGGCGAGGCGCCGACCTGCCGTCTGCCGACGACACCGACGAGGTCGCTGCCATCGCAGCCGCGCCCGCGACTCGAGCAACAGCACCCTCCTTGGCTGCCGCATTCTCGGTCTCGACCAGGCGCTCGACGTCGTCAAACTCGTCGTTGTGCGTACGCTGGCCCGAACGGATCTGCGCCAGCACCACGGGATGAAGCGTCCACCAGCCTCCCTTGCCACGTGCCGCCTGACTCTGCGATGGATTGCCGGAAGAGCAGCTGTCGTAGATGTCCTGCGCGGTGCGCGCCTTCTTGATGAAGATCTTGCCGAGCGAGAGGTTGTGTCGCACCGTGTTCTGCCAGCCCTGCGAGTCGGGACCCGCCATGGGGTACCCCGAAAAGTTGCTGCTGATCCAGGTGTAGATCTCACGAAGCGTCATGCGGCCTTCCGACGACGAGGCGATGGCCTGGGTGATCATCGACGAGTACGAATAGGGTGGTCGCCTCCTTCGTCGGCTGTGCGCGATGCGGTCGACCGGCGCGTTCCGCTGGGGCGCGTTGGCCACATACGTGCCGGCGGATCCCGGCCTCGGCTGCGAGGTATACTCGGCGTGGAAGCCATGGTCCTGCGTTGCGCCAGCACCGAGATAGGTGTCTGGCGACGCGGCGACCGGATGATGCGCCGCGGCGAATCGTTCGCGGTCGATCTGCTCCAGCCGCGACATGCCGGGGTGGTGGTGAATGGGTTCCAGTCCCGGAGCGCGAGCAGGATGCATGGGAGGCTGTCCCACAGGATAGGAGGCCTGATGGTAGCGCGCCATCTCCGACTCGGGTGAGATGGCCTCGCCGTGCATGCCTGTCGCAGGACGGTAGCCGTAGTCGCGCGGGTCATTGCGAAGTCCGGGCGCATAGGATACGGAAGGAGGGCTGGCGGCCAAGTCGCCGTTCTTGTGCTTCTGTCGTGTCCAGTCGGCCGCTGCTGCCGGTCCAAAGTAGTCGTTGCGGACGCGTGCTTCGGCAGGCGAACGTCCCTGACCGTGAAGCGATGGTACGGCCATGCCTGAAGCCGAAGGCATCGAAGCCTCCTCCATCGAAAGCCCCTCCATGTTGAGCGGAGAGACAGGCGTGCCAGGTCTCGATCGATACTGGCCTGGGCGTGCCATGACAGATGGGTTGCCGTGCTGGGCTCCCGAAATGCGGCGAGGCACCTGCATGTGAGGGTCCTGGCTCGGACTGAGCGGAGCAAAGAGGATGGGCGATTCTCGCGACGATGGGCGAAGGCCTGGCGAGTGATGCCTGTGCGCATACATCTCACCACCATGGTTGTGGTAGCCGTCGCGGAATGAGCGGCCCTCGTCCCACGACCGCGGTGGCAGCGGCGACTGCTCATCGTACTTGACGTGGACGGGGCCGTGCGAAGGAGTGTGCTGCCTTGCGCCGATGAAGGAGCTTCCTCGGACACGAGTGGTGTCGGGGTGTGGCAGCGTCAGAGTGCTGGAGCGGCCCCGGTTGCGGCTGGGACCGATGCCTCCGATCCTCTCGACGTCGCGCGAGGGATGTGTCGGAAGTGCCGAAATGTTGAGCGGTTGCGCCTCTGCGCGTGACGAGGCTCGTGACCTGGCGTCGGGCGCAGGATGCAGGGGCTCGGATCGATAGGACGGTGATGTGTTGTGACGCAGACCGTGGGCGAGCGGATCAAGAGGACCGTAGTCGGGAGCGCGCGTCAGGGGCATTGCTCCAGCTTCGAGCGGGGCAGGCGGACTGGGACCCTGTGCACCGCGTGACGTGGACATGTAAGGATGGTGCCAGGAGCGCTGTCGCGACTGAGGGCTGGGCCTCTGCTCGAGAGGATGCGGTCCTGCATCTGCAAGGTAGTGCGAAGGTGTGTGCTGGTATGGAGGCGCTTGGCGTCCAGGAGGAGGCGTGGTGTAGCGCCTGGCGCCAGAGCCCTCCATTTGCGACGGATAGGCAGGCGTGCCGCAGTGGGCAGGGTGGAGCGTCGAGGTGATGTGGTGTGGCTGTGGGCGAGCGGCGACGTCAAAGAAAGGGGGTGAGCGCGGTCGTAGTGAGGTGAGCATCGGACAGATTGCAAGACCGCGCGCTCGCGCCTCGTTCAAAGCAAGCGTATGCAGACACCTGGACCGGTGTCGGAATGTGGCGTGGAAAGTCGCTGCTAGGAGCTAGGTCCTCGGACGCGCATCGAGTCGAATGCAGATGGAAGACAGGGTGTGGTGTGCTGAGAATCAACGAGGGCGTGTAGCGTCGAAGGTGACCGCGCAAAAGAGCGGAAGTGCCTGACGTTGCGAGTGTCGGAACAGCTCCGATGCGACGGAAAGCTCGCCCTCTTCGAGGATGCGACGGATCAGCCGCGAGCGCCGTAGCAACAAGCCGACTTGGGAAAGTGGAAGTCGGTGGCTGGTGGAACTGAGCTGGCGCACGGTTGTATGCGAGTAGAGTGGTACGTGGTGGCAATGGAAAGTCGAATTGGCGACACTGGCTGGGTAACTGCTGGCTTATGGTCAAGAGGTGTCGAAAAAGAGTGAAGATGGTCGAGATATCAAGTGACGAGCCGTATGGAGCTGTTGAGCGTGACGAGATTGGGGTCGTGCTTAAGGGAACGGTCGACCGACTTTCGAGGATGAGGGAATGGCTAGAGTGGTGGTGAAGCAAGAGGTACAAGCAGGGACAAGCGCGAGACCAGCAGGGCCACAACACCATTAGCCGCCTCGAAGGACGAGTGGGTTCGAAATCAGCCCGGCCTTTCGGACAGGCGGCGAGGTTTAGGCGCCACCGCAACAGCAGCAGCAGTGTGCGGAGCTTCCGACGGCGTTGGCGAGACGGAGAAGCCGCCGAAGAGAGACGAGAGAGATGCCAAGCAGTGGCGCGTTCCGAACCACTGGGCGGCGGGGCGGCGCAGCCAGCTGATGCGCAGGGCGAGCCGAGAGCGGTCAACGGCAGTACGGCCACTTTGGGTGTTGGATGCGGCTAGGATATGCAGGTGGTTGGGCTGCAAGTGAGCGAGGCGAGGGGAGAAAGCCACTTTGCCTTGCCAAGGGTCGACGGGTGGCAGGCGTGCGATGCGCAGAATGCTTACCGGCCAGGAGGCGAAGAGGGGTGCTGTCGTTGCTTCGACCCCGTCCAGGCGTGCGTCTTCCGGTACGGCTGTGCCCGAGCTCTTTGGGTGCACATCCGAGGCTGCTGGGCACGGCAGATGGGACGCCGCGACTGGCCGACTCAGACGGGGGCGATCCGTTCAAATGCGGTTGAGCCGAGAAGGGAGCCACTCCAGCCGGGAGACCGACACCCAAAAGGGCCACCCAAGAATCAAGCTCGGGGCACACAAGCGCCAAACTCAAATTTGGCCGCCCCCAATCCACCAAAAAAAAAAAAAAAAGCTGCGAAAGCTGCATCACGGCATGAGGGGGAGGTGGCTGAATACGCGAGCTGCAGAAGTGGATGTGGATGTGGATGTGGATGCGTGGCTGGGTGGGTGGATGCATGGAGGCGTGCGTGTGTGTGTGTGTGGCTGGGCGGAGGCGGCGGGGCTGGACTCACCCGCGCGAAGCGAGCGACACTCTGGGGCAGCGCCGGCGACTGTGCCCAAACCCAACCAAGGCCATGCATGCATTGTAGCCCTTGCCGTTGCACCTACCCAAGACAAAGGGTAAGACACGGCGAGCTAGACGCCTGGGCCTCCGCCTCCTCGATCCCGACGTTGAACTAGTCTGACCACCGGTGTGGCCAAGCGCTGAGAGGGTGGGGGCGCTTTCGGTGCTGATGCTCTCCAGCGTTCGGCAACACATCGGCAGACACGTCGGATGCCAAAAGTGGCATGCAGATTGGCTTGATGCGCGATCCGCAAGGGCTCGAGGGTGAGAAAAAGCATGCGGTGCGCCCGTCTGTCATCTCGGGCTGGATTCGATTTCCACTTCCAACTCCAACTCCAATCCCAATCTTAATTTTTTTTTTCCCGCGACTAATCTTATTCTTTCTCTTGTTATGAGTCTATTTATTTATCCTATATATTATTTGTCTTACTCTCGAGTCGAGTCAAGCCCAAAGCGAGAGGAGAGGATGCAGAATCCCATGGCAGGTGTTCGCCGTCAACAAAGTGCGCGCTCAGAGGCCGAAGCGCAGCCGCCGCGTCCGGGATCGGAGCTTCACGAGGCGCCTCATGCAGAAGCCACAGAGTTGCCAGGTCGAAAAAAGCGCGCCAGAACAGCAGACAAAGACAGCACGGAAGCTGCATCCAGAAAAATTCCAGAAATCGAACCTCTGAACTGTCGCGATGCAGATCTAGCTGTATGCAGCCTTGTGGCGCGCCGGTGTGGTGTGGTGCGGTGCGGTGCGGTGCGGTGCGCTCGACGCTCCCACGCACGCCCACCTCCGCGCGCAGCCGGGCCTGCGTGGTTGACTCGTAACCAAGCAGAAGGTACAGCTCGCCGCCACACGCGCACGTCGCCCAAACCTCGGCGTTGGTGGCAAGCAGATTTGCATCCAAGCACCCTGCATCACCTGTGCTTTCGCTCTTGGCCCTTTGTTGGTTTGCATTTCTCTCCATCTCGAGGGCAGACCAAGTCGAGTGAAGACGATACTGCAACTCACCAAGACTTTGCGCCGACTCGATCAATCGTTCCACTTTCCCTCGGTCCTCGAAGTGGGCGCTGGTGTCAGAGCGCCGTCGCCTGCCCTTCCGGCCCGAGACATTTAGCATTGTCGTGCGATCGTGATGATGATGTGAATTCGACTGTGAGTGGATCTGCGAGGATCGTGTTCGGGAACTTGGTTTGGCAATCCGATTGCACGCAACCGGTGGCAATCCGCGGGCGTTTCCCCTTTTTGCGCGTTTGGGCCCTACTTTTGGTCAAACATAGTGACCGGGGCCTCATTCTGTCCTGCAGCCTTGTTGTTGCCGCATTGCCTCTTGACACCGTATATTCGGCCTGCAATCTACCATCTATCATCTTGAGCCTGTCAACCAGCAAGACCAGGCCTAGGCTGAGGATCCCCGGAAAGCGCTGGATACGAACACCGCTTGCCGTATTTACGGTGGATGAAGGCCAATGTCGTAGGAGAGTGCGAAAACTGGATTTGGTCGGCGTGGTGTTGGGCTGCAGGCGCGGCAAGGCGGTTGTGGACGCGGGCGGCGGCTAGGTTTGACGTGGGTCTTTGGAAGGGGCCCGCGCGAAAACAAGAGGAGCGAGCGGAGTCAAGAATGCATGCATGCACTGAAACCCCATCTGTAGCCTCGATTGCGAATTCGTAATCGCATCCGGAGAAGCCCTCCCGTCCATCTTTTTTTCCCCCAGAAGCCCTCCCGTCCATCTTTTTTTTCCCCGGCTTCGGTGCAGGGTGTGGCGTTCAGTTGTCGGACGCTCATCGACATGGTTCTCAAAACCTTTCTATGATTGTCCATGCCATCTTCGCACTCACCTCGTGGCATCAGTGTCTGGCAGGATACGAGCCCACTTCACAGCAAACGCGACGGCACTGCCAGCAAGCCTTCGCCACCTTGAACCTCGACGGGGATGTCATTTTCTACTCTTGTTTTATTTTATATCATCTTTTTTTTTCGGATTCGCTCGGATCGGTGGCGGCTGCCCGCTTCTGCGTAAAAATCAATTTGGGTAAATCGCTGCGCTCCGTCGCGAGAACTTGGGCCCCGCTGTCGTCCTGCGTGTCGCTTGACCCGGGCCGGTGACATTGACAGCCATATTGACTTGTGAGGGCTAGACCGTTCATGCTCGCTGGTACCGCCATCCATTGTTCACAATTGTGGTTCGCGGGGATCGCAATTTGTCTCCGCTGGCTCGGGTCTCAACGCCCACGGCGGTGTCCAGTCCAAGAGCGTATTGTATTTCCAGCAACTTTAAAGTAGCGTGAGGAAGCGTCTGCATGCAGCTGCTTGGCTCGCTAGCCGAGGACGGCGTTTGCTTTTGCTCAGCTCGGCAGGCGCAAAGACTTGCCGTCACTTTCTGAAAATCGTCCAGGGCATTGGACACGCACCGCGCCACCCGTCTTTGCTGGCGATCGGCACTCGGCGTCAATGGGCAATCCGGGCAGCAGCGGAGAGAGCAACAGAGCCGAGCCGTGCATCCTCACGCGCCATCGAGTCGGCCAACCCGAGACCCCGTCTGCAGCCTGAGCGCCCGCCGATGCGATCCCGGGGTCCCGGATGTGTGCCTGTTCCCACAAAAGACTCCTCTCGGTAGCCAGATTCCGGGGTTTGAGATACGGCGAGCTCACTGCCAGGGCAGAAAGGTCTGCCGTCGCAAAGAAAAAAATTAGCGAGCACTTCGAGCCAAGGTGGGCCGGGAGGAAGCAAGCGACAACGGCAAGGCGAACCGCGGCAAGGTGTGGCAACTCAACGTGTAGACATTCCGGCATGCATTGAGGAGGTGCAGCCGGTATGGACGGCTATGCGGGGCGTCAGGTCGGAGTACGGCTTTGTCCGCTCGCTTTGGTCTGCCCTGCTGTTGGCGCGTCAAATCGCCCGCAGTGGCCCCGACAACGGCGCGGGCCGGCAAGCGTTTACGGACCAAGCGAGCGCACCGCATTTGCCCAATGCAGCAGCAAGCAATGAGGATGCTGCAGCAGCAATCAGCCGGCTGGCTCGTGTACGTGTCGTGAGCTGCAATACCGTGTCCCGACTCAGCAGGCGGTTCAAACCCGGTTTCTGGAAAGGTTCTCTCCTCTCTGCGCCGTTCCGCTCCCCGTTGCCGCGAATAGAACACAGCAGTAGAGATGGCCTGAAAGATATGAGCTTGGTCCAAGGGAGCGGTGGCGAAAGGTCCAAAAATAACGACCTGCAAGAGGACTTCGCTTATCTCGGTTCAACATCGACGTGCAAGACGGAGTCACAGAGGGTCCTCGACAAGCTGGCGGTGTCACGGCCCTTGCGTCAAGCCCTGCAACGGTTCGCTGCTGCCCGCGCGAGGTCGCTACGATCCAGGCACCCACGCTAAGCAAGCGAGTCGATCCGAGCTGTAAGTTACACGCGAAAAGCACGCAGGTTTCCCGTCGCCATCGTGGTCGCGGTCGGCGTCGCTGCTGCTGCTACGAGGCGAGCGACGGAGAGCTGAAAGGAACCGCCTGTAAGTTGATTTTCGCATCGGGTGATGCACGAGCAGAAGGGTCACACGAGACATCAGCTAGAGTTTAGGCCGCCCGGAGAGACGGGCGGGCATGTCTCGTCTTATGCTAGCTGCTGTAGGTTTCAAAGTGCCAAAGATAGTTGGCAGTCGCGTTGAGACGGGAGAGACCACAGCTTTCGAGGCAAGTCGTGGTCCAGGGCCAAGCTACTGTATTCTGAGCTACAATTCTTATGCTCCAAACGTTATGCTTGGGTCCCCAAGTCATTCGACTTTTGGCAGCTTCGAATTACAATGCTGTCATGCTGTCATGCTGACCTGCTGACTCGCGACACACGATTGATAGATCGAGTGTGGCTGTAGGATCCAGGTGGCAAGACACGGCCGGAGGGTGACGCATGAGCAGACCAAGGGAAGGCGCGATGCAACCGAAAAAAAGGGTCTACAGAAAGGCAGTGGGCGATGTTTGTCTTGCATGCAGGCGAGGCAACAAAGTTAAGTGCCTGTCTTGAAGGGGGGGAAGAAGCTGGGCGGTCAACTTTGCGTTGACTGGATGTACAAGAGCATCGCGAGGCCAAATATGTCGAGACCTGAGTCAACGTGCCGACGGAAGCGGCCCAACCAGGCTTACAGCCCGGCACGGCACTGCAAGGCACTGCACCACAGCGCATCTCGCATTTTGCTAGATCTGGGCTGCACGTCTCGGCTCGGCTGCTTCGTCGCGCGACCAACGGTGTGGGCATGACAGCCCTATTTGGCCTCCCAACAGAACGCTCCTACCCCCTTGCATCCGACAGCAGCTCTTTGCCTAAGCCGCAAGGAAGGTCCAAAACCTGACACGGTCGTCCAAAGTCATCGTCGACGGAAGCATCCGACAAAAAGTCCAACCCGCTTGCGCTCCGCAAGCCAGCATGAACCGGGCAGAGAACGGTTGCCACAATTGACGTCGGAGAAGGTTCGGTTCAAATTTTTCCCAAGCCATGCCTACGCCATCCACCATGGGCGAGATGATTGCCTGAGAAGATCGGCATTCGCGCCGAAAGCTGACCGCGCCCGTTCGTCGGCAGGCCCAGAATTCGGTGCCAAGATTCTGTTGGCCGGCGCGAACGCGCGGGACCCTCCGACGATTTTCTATACAGCGCCAGCGCAGTGTTTGGTGCCCAATGTGGCTTGAGGCCATGACCGCCGAATTTGCAACATTAGGCTCGGCTCGCATCGCGACATGCAGCCTTATTATTATTATAATACCATTGTGATGGCTAGCTTGGGTGCAGGCGAGCCAAACGAGGAAAGTCGGAAGATGCGACATCTGAGTCAGGCACTGGAGCGCATGAGCTTGCAGTAAGGCCTTGGATTGTGTGCAGCAGCCGATTGACAGTCCGAATTGTCGGCCGACCTTCTGTGTGGTGTGGGGGTGCGGCCCAGATATAATGTAAGCGAGACGTGATGGGCGCGCGTACGGTGCTTTACCACTGTTTGTGGACAATGTAGAACGCCCCCTAACCCGGACAATGTGCCTCGGCTCCACCAACCCACCAACACCATGCCGAGATACCGTCGTCGTACGAGACAAAAGGCGTGGCGTATGGCGTTCCTCGCCCTTGCAGTGCAACATGTGCGAGCACATGCCACCGGACGTTTGCGACCTTTGTGATGACTCGCTGCCATTGAGAGTCGGGTGGCAGCTTCTTTCCATCGGAAACCTCGCTGCATAGGCGACGTCCATTGTTGCAGAGCCTCGGCGCAAGAGCGGTGTTCGAAACACACGCCCCGGGGAGCACATGCACACGGCGTCCCGAGCCAAAGGATGCTGCTGCACATGTCAAGACACTTTGAGCGTAACTCGTCAGCCATGGACCAACTTGCGGGAACGCGCGCGATGGGTGCAATTCCGGATCAAGGACCTTCGAAAATCTCACTCCGCTCCAAGTCTTCGATCCGACGATCGCAAGACCCAGGCTGTCCTCCAACATCGCCTCGCAAAAGTCGCACAACCACTCAACAAGCCGCGAACCGACCGTTTTTCCAGCAGCAGCATGGTCATTTTCACAGCCACGTTGCAGATCGTGTCGTGAGCACCACTTGCCGCGACGGGCTGTTGTCGCTTGACCAAAGTTTGTTCTCCGTAGTTTTGGAATCTGCTGCTGCCGCGGCTTTGCTCATGGCAGCCGACAGTATTGACCAGTCAACAAGCTCCGATTCGCTCCGCAAAGGGACGCAGGATGGTATCTCCGGTGCAGTGATTTGCAGCGAGCGATCCAGCTCCGCGCCGAGTCGCCAGATATCCTCTACTGTAAGTTGGCACGAATAGCGAACTCGAGCCCAAAGTCACCAGAGTTGGGAATTCCGCTTTTCCGAGATTATTAATACCAACTTCTCGGTGCAATGCGGATCGGGGACCGGCGAGCAACCGCAAGCCCGGTGTACGAGGCCCAGAATCCAGGATTCGCCAGCCACATTCCTCGCTCCTCGTTTTCTGAGACGTTTGGTTTCGCAAGCCACGCTAGTTGCGAGATGGTCGATTAAAGGGCCCTTGCGCGCCATCAATCGATTCGCTCGCTGTCTATGCGCGCACGGCGACTGGCAGATCGGCTGATCAGGGCCTTGCCGATCTGGCTGCGAGAGACGAAGGTGTCACGACGACGAAGCTGGAGGCTGGTGCCAAAAGAAGAAGAAAAATTCGGCAACGTCATTTTCGGGCAGTGCAGACTTGTGCCACTCGCTTGGCGATCGAATGGAGGACAGGCGGAAGCGAGCATGACGACCCTTGTCTTCGGCTCGCACGTTGGGCTCGCATCCAAAGAAGCTAGCCGACCAGGGTGATCGCGGAGGGATTGCCCGAGCACTGCCCCCCTTCCAACCGAAGCGAGGGTAGGGGCTGTCGCCGGGAAGATGCCTCCTTGGCGCTGACCGCCATAGATGGCTGCTGACGTGGTTACGATTAGCCATATTCCTGCGGGGAGGGTCATGTTGTCTCGCGTAATAGTGCGGATGGCATCAATTTGGGATGGTCCATGGACCTTAGACCTCGCTAACCTAGATTTGGGCGTCGGAGCTGGATGGGGGATCGTGGTGCGACCTCGACCAAATGCCGAAACGCCAGCGGGCTCATCGCGATCATCGCCAACCCGCCACTGACGCGTTCCCCTCAGCATCGTTGGCACCTTCGCTTCAGCAGCGCAAAGTCTTGCTGGGTCGGATTCGCATAAAGTGGAGCCATTTGCAGTCGTCGTCATGAGGAGTGCCACAACAGGCGTCGCGAGACGCCTAAATTTTCGGCGTTTGCGAGCGTGGGAAGCACGCCAATCGTAGCTCGGTCCTCGAAGCTGTGGTGACGTCTCGAGGCTTCCACGCCTCGCGAGGCACAGCCGAATGCTCTTCGACTCACGAGATGCAACTGCCAGCGACATTCTGGGTCGGCAATCACAGGACGGTGAGTGCATGGTGGCTGCGTCCTCCCACAAACACCCGAGCCGATTGAGTGGGGTGAAAATTGTCGGAAACGCCTCCGACTTTGCCAGTCCGCGATGACGAGGCGGCTCGCCCCGTTCTTCCTCGCCCGCCCGCCCGCTTGTCGTTCGCAGCACCAAGAGCCGCGAGGGCTGAGCTCGCTGCCTGCGTCGAGCTGCTCCACATGCTTGCGCAACTTTCCGAGCATCGTACCGACTCCCGACAAAATGTCAGTGGCAGTGTGGGGATGTGATCTAGCTTTCACGTGGATCGGTGCGCTCTTGCATCGGCACGCACGCCGAGCTCGCCAAATACCCCAGTTCGGCCTCGTGCCATGCTGCACGTACGCTCTCTTCGGCAACTGCATCGCACGAGCGGAGTCGAATCCGAGCCGACACACACGAGAGCGCCCGAGTCTAGATCCACGTTGGTGAGCTCCGAGTGGCGAGCTAAGCGCCCACGATAGACGCGTGCTGTATCTTGTGGCGGCTGCCAAAGCGGCTGGATCTGAACTGCCACACGCTCTGCCACACGCTCCGTCGGAGCCTAGAGCACGGCACAGCGCTGTACGTTTTGTCCCGCGACAGGGTCGGAGCGGAAGGCATCTCAAACACGGCCTACAGCACAAGCTAAGCGCCCAATCGGAAGATGGTGAAACCACATAACACGGCCCGCATCTTTTGGGCTGCCGCCGATTCGCAAGATGTCGGGTCGCAGCCGCCCAGCTGCCATGAAGCAGTGTTTGGTGCCAACACTGATGCCAAGCATCGCAAAGCGCCACGCCGATACGCCTGGTTTCGGGCTGGGTGCAACACGGCAGCACGGGCCGCTTGCAGCTTTGCCCACCCCTGTGAGCTGACACGCTCCCGAAGACGGCCAAACAAACGCGTCATGGCTGTTTACCTGTCTGGCTGTGCGTGCCGAATCGCAGTCCGGTTTCGGACCAAAAGCCACCGAATGGTCTGGAATCTCGCTCTCGTTGCCCGTGTTTGGCGCCCCTCCCATCTCATCTTTGCAAGTGGCTCTGAAACGTGCCCGAAACACCCAGGCTCAGGTGTGGACGATGGTGCATCTGGCAGGCTCAGCGAGAGCAACAATGCATATTCGATATCGGGTAAACTTGCGTCGTGGTTGGGTTCGAGCAACCCGAGCAAGCCGAATGGATGCAGCAGCGTAGCTTTAGGCGAAGCGCACAGGAGCAACGGTTTTTGGCGAGCACGAGCTCGGCACCATCCGTCTGGGCTGCGGCGGGTCAAAATCTGTGCCCGAAGAGCAATCTCGGCAGCTAGTGCAGCAGCCGCGCTTCCCGAGTGCGGTCTCGCTCTTCAGTAGATCCCCTCCTCTCTGGCCGAGTACAGTACGCCGCGTGACACCCGCGGAGAGATTGCGGCGGTTTGTCTGCGAACATCACCACTGCCAGCGCTTCAGAGTTTCGCTTAATCTGGTGGCCGTGCCTGTCTCAATGCGGCCAACACGTGACACACTCGCAAGCCAGCCGATCCCACGATCTCGAGAGGCGGAGGCTGGATCCCGATGCCGAGAGGCGATCGAGGATATCGGCGATGCCGACCCCCAATGCCTAGAAGTCTTTTGGACGTCGACGAGGCAGGTCTGGAGGATCTCGACGAGCAAGACAGCCACGGCTGAGGTTTGACCTGAATAACACGCAGACCTTGGTCAGGGCTGACGTGCGACATTGCCAAGGCGAGCCAAAGCAGAGCAACCGAGACGATCGAACGAGCCTCGCAAGCAGACTCTGGCTTCGACGATGTTGCGAAAGAAGTTTCGAGATGATCGACAATGCTATCAAGCGCGGCGTAGCACGGTCAGCTGCAGATGCATGCCCACGCTGTGCTCTCGGGCAGCACTTTTGGCCGAGGCTATTGTCCGACATTGCTGCAGCAGGTGAGAGCGATGGCGAGCGGAAGCAGGGCAAAGCAGGTCGACCGAGCATCGCAAGGATGCGCTGACTCCGACGGTGCTGCGAGACGATATGTGAGACGACTTGGACAATACCGTTTCGCAGCTGCTAGGGCAGGCCCACGCTGTGTTCTTCGGCAAAACGTGCTGAAGCGTTCGATCATGCTACTGCGAAATCATCCTTTGCGCCTCGATGCTGAGCGAGGCCAATGCTATGCGTCCAGCACCAGATGTTGTCGTGACCACGGCTTGCGATCTCCACGCAATAAAGGATTGTGCGCTCTGAATGCCTCAAGCCATTCGAAGGCACGATCTGACCGTCTGGGGTGAGACAGCACGTACGAGCGGATTGAGCGTGTCTGACCATTACGACTGCTGGATCCGACTTGGTTGCTAGAGCTGACGCACATAAGCAGTGGGAATAATGCCCTGTCTAGCGCCATCTTGCGACATGGCACGCCACCAGTCGTCCGAGATCTTTTCGGTCAACCAGACCGTCTCGCCCTCTGTCGCCTGCAAGTCGTCGGCATCCGTTCCATCGCCATAGCTGTCGTCAAAACCGTCAGCATCATACATTCGGACCAGCGTAAAAAACAAGAGGGGTGGGGGTATGGCTTACTCGTAAAGCACTGTGGCTGAACCAATTGTACCTGGAGGCATAACTGGTGCAACAGGTGCAGCGGATGGTGGTGCGGGAACGCTGGATCCTGTTCGTGTTGGTGGTGGAAGCGTCCTTGCTGCTGGTTGTGGTGTTGCTGCGGGGACTTGTGTACTGGACGTTGTCCTCGAGCCTAAATTAAGCGATCCCAATGTCTGTCACCGCGCAACAAAGAGTGTGAGTCAATATGGCTGGTATGGTTCCTGCAGGCAAGGGGGTTGGGGGCTTACCTTTCCGCTCACAAGGCCGGCGGGGACGTTGAATCCGGGTTTCTTGTTGGCTGATGGAGCGGGAGGTGGTGGGCCTTTAGTCAACCCCGTCCGGGCGAATTGGTCACGCAGCGCATTCGATACCGCAGCGCTGGCAGCTGCGCCGGCTGCATTGCCTGCTGCCGCCGTGGCGCGGTCCGTCAATCCGCCCTGCGATGCTGCAGTCGACGCAGGCAACCGGTGCGGCCGCGACGCAAAGTACTCGTCCAGCAAGCTAAAGAACGCCTGCTTCTCGCCAGCGGGCAGATCCGCGATCATCGTATCGCCCACTCGAGCGTGTTCGCCTCGGCAGGGAGAAGGACAGAGGTTGTTGGTCGTCAGGATAGGGGCAGCGAGAGGTGGTGACAAGGTGGGGAAGTCGGCGCACGGTCGTTGCATTTTTGGCGCCCCTCTCACTCCACATTTGGTGTTTGTGGCGGTGGAGCACCACTCGGCCGGTAAAACAACGCACAAGCTTCTCGGCAACTCACACCTTCATGTCATCTTGGGATGCAGCGAAAGGCGGTTGTATGAAAGAGACAAGAACTAGAGTACAGAGAGTGCAAGGACCAAAAGGCTATGAACAGCGAAAAGAAAAAGAAAGTGCAGTAAAGGAAACAGATGGAGGACCGGCGGGAAATCACTTCTTCTTGTCCTTCTTGTCCTTCTTGTCCTTCTTGTCCTTCTTCTCCTTCTTGGCCTCCTTGGCGGCCTTCTTGGCAGCCTTTTCGACGTCCTTCTTCTTGTCCTTGTCTCCCGACTTGGACTTGGACTTCTTGTCCTTCTTTGCGTCCTTGTCCTTGCTCTTCTTTGCATCGGCAGGATCTGTGACGCCGACGGCGGCGGGCATCTGGGCGTCTTCGTCGTCGCTGTCGTCGGCGTCTTCGTCCATCAGGTCACCGGCAGCCTCTTCGATCGCCTTGATCGCCTTGCTCATGGCATCCGAGTTCTTGCTCGGCGCCTTGCCCGTCTCGTAGAACGCCAGGCGCTCTTCGACCTGCACGGCAAGCACCTCGCCGAACTTGGTGGTGGGCGTCTCGGAGAAGCAGTCGATCCTCGAGGCGATGGAGATCTTGTTGGCGAGGAAGCGCGACATGCGGCCCTTGTTCTTGGGCGCCGCACGGGCGATGGCCGAAGCGTGGTAGATCAGACCATACTTGGGCGTGTTGCCCTTGGTCTTGAGTGCGCGGAAGAGCGCCTTTTCGGCACCGAGGATCTGCACCGTCGAGGCCGGGTACTTGGCGAGGTTGGTGAGCGAACCGGCGTGCGAGATGAGACGCGCACCGATGATCTCGCCCAGCAAGGCGGAGAGATTGGGTGCGACGAGGTGCATCTTTTCGATGAGGTACTTGTGCATGTTCTTGCGGTACTCGCCGAGGTTGATGACGCGCTCGGCAAAGTTGAGGATGTTGTGCATGTCGAGTTCGCCGATCTCCTGGCCCATGGAGGCGCGTGCGGCGTCGAGGATGTTCTTGGCGGCGGTCTCGTCGCCGGCCAGGATGTCGGTCATCTCCTCCACGTCGTCCTCGGACAGACGCTCCTTGTTGCGGATGAAGCGCGCCAGCTTGGCGTACGTGAGGTTGTCCGAGGTGAGCTTGACGAGCTCGGGGAAGTGCCAACCGTACCACTCGCGCACGCGCATGGCGAAGGTGTTGACGTCCTTGTCGAGCGTATCGAGCAGCGCAATGGCCTGGATGATCATGTTGTCGGAGCGGTTCACGTTGAACTTGACCTTGGAGCGCGAGTAGCTGTGACCGAGGCCGAGCTGTGCCTTTGCGAGGTCGCCGTCAGCCATGCCCTTGAGCAGCTTCTCTGCGTGCTGGCGCACGCCGCGGATGAGCTCGAGCGCGGTGTCGCCCGTGTCGCAGGGGATGCCGAGCTCGCCGACGATCGAGGTGGCGAGGTTGCGGTCCTGGACGCCGAGCACCACGCTCTTCTTCTTGGCGGCGGCGAGGTTGAGCGTGAGGAGCGACTTGAGGTAGTCGTTGAGCACGCCCTCGGAGATGTCGAGCGACGCCTGCAGCGCATCGAGCGCATTCTTGAAGGGCGAGAACGAGAGGAGCTTGACCATCTTGCCAAAGGTGTTGACCTCATTCACGCTCTCCTGCACGGCGCGGGAGAGCGAGCCGATCTCCTCGACGGCGGCCACCTCGAACACGGCGCATCCCGTGGCGCACTCGAAGAGGATGTGCGTAGGTGCGGACGACATGGCGGCGGAGTAGGGACGAGCGACAGCCCGATGCTGTAGCTACGGTTGGAAATGCAGCTGCCGAGTGGTGGTGGTGGTGTCGGTCGACGTCGTTAGTTGCGGTCGACGATGATGCTCAAGCGTCTCTGGACTTGCGAGACGGCGGTGATGGCGAAGCGAAAGGGGATGCAGGTGGGTGGGCAGGAAGAAAGTCGAAATCCGATGGCGGCGGCGGGCTGTTACCAACGCTTCTCTGAGGCCTGCAGTTGCAATTTTTCTGCTTTTTGCCAGTCGTGCGGAATGCCCATCAGCACTCAGTGGGTACAGAGATGCATCGCCGCCTGCTGCCTGGACCGACGAATTTGAGCTCAAAAAGGAAAAATTTGCCTCCTTTTGGCAGCCAGCCCTCTCACTTTTTTTTTCGAAAAATGGCTGCATCACGTGCGGGGCTCGGTGCATCGATCGGACCAAGCTGTCTCTAAAATCGGGGATGGGAACTGGAGAATGCGCGGCTGTGGGGCTGGTTGTGATCGAGTGGAGAGCAGCGGCGGTGGAGCTGAGGAGGTGCGCTTTTGGGCGCGAATACGCAGCAGCGCTCAGACCCGCGTCGTCAGTGCGGCGCCGTTGCTCCACACCCACTTTGGCCAGAGTGTCACTTTGCGCGTCGTCTTCCACACCATCCTTCTGCTTGCCTTGTCCTCAACCAGCGTCCCTATCTTCTCTGCCCTCAGCGCACCCAGCAGAGAAAGCTCGACACATCGCGGCCACATCAGAGTGCACACCAGCAGGCCAGTCGCCATGTCGCGCTCGTCCTACGACCGATACCTCACCATCTTCTCGCCGGATGGCAGGTTGTATCAGGTGGAATATGCGTTCAAGGCGATCAACACCGCGGGACTCACCAGCATTGCTGTGCGCGGCAAGGACTGCTCCGTCGTCGTCGGCCAGAAGAAGGTGCCCGTAAGCGTCATCCCCGCCTCATCCTCACTGCCTTGCTATCGTACGCTGACGCACTCCTCCCCTGTCTATGTGCAACTCTCAGGACAAGTTGATCGACGCCTCGAGCGTGACGAACATCTTCAACCTGACGCCCGAGATCGGGTGCATCATGACCGGCCGCGTTGGTAAGTAGCCTTGCCACCCTCGTGCTTGATGTTGCAAATGCTGACTTTGGATTTCGGTGTTGGATTCGTAGCGGATGCACGTGCGCAGGTGCAGCGGGCGATGATGGAAGCTGCCGACTTCAAGTACAAGTACGGGTACGCCATTACTCCCGATCTTCTCGCCAAGCGTATGGCGAACATGAACCAGGTGTACACGCAGCGTGCTGCCATGCGTCCCTATGGCGTAAGCATGATCCTGGTCGGTATCGACGCCGAACGTGGACCGCAGATCTTCAAGATCGATCCGGCGGGATACTTTGTCGGCTTCCGTGCGACTGCTGCGGGAGTGAAACAGACCGAGGCGACCAACTTTTTGGAAAAGCAGTTTAAAAAGGCGTCGACCAACCCTACGGATGCAGCCTCGGCGAATGATGCAGCGGCAATCGAGGCCGAGCAGGTGTCGGCGAGTCTGTCGCTGGAACAGACACTCGATCTGGCAGTCAACACCCTAGCGACCGTGCTGGCACAGGATCTCAAGCCAAGCGAACTCGAAGTCGCCGTGGTCGGCGGTCCCAATGCTGCTGCTGCCCAGATCCAAGACGGCGCCGACTCGGCAGGATTGCCCAAGCAGGTGCAGGAGGAAACGAGGTTTAGAAAGCTCACCGAGACGCAGATTGGCGAAATCCTCGACCGTCTCGCCGAACGCGACTAGACACTTGCCCCCCACTCCCTCAATTGCATTTCTCTTCTCTCCGCACTCTTGATCGTACTTGTGAGACACTGTGTGGTGAAGTTGGTTTTTTTTGGCACTGTGGAATGGGTACATGCTGGGGGATGGACTTAGTGGGCCTCGCGTCTTCGCGGCGCGCATTTGAGGATATCGTCCACACGCAGGATCATCTCGGCGGCTTCGGTGGCGCTGATGACCACCTGGCGTTTGAGCTTGTACGACTCGCGCACGCCCTTTTGCTTCATATCCGCCAGCTTGCCCGCATCCAGATCGAGTCCCGCGTACTTGTCGCCGTGCTGGTGGGCTGCACGCAGCTGCGCCACAAGCTCGGACGAGTCCAACCCAGCGTTATCCGCCAGAATCGTAGGCAGCTGTCGGAGGGCCTTTGCGAATGCTTCTGTTGCAATCGCCTTTTTGCCCGACGTGGATCGCGCAGCATCATCCACCACCTTGGACATGCTCATCTCGGCACATCCACCTCCCAGCAACACGCGTGTTTCGCCCACCGTCTGCGAGAGAACGGAGAGGGCGTCGTGGAGGGATCGCTCTGCTTCATCGAGCATCTGAGACGTAGCACCGCGCAGGACGACGGTGCACGCTTCGCCGGCGGCAACGCCCGAGAACTTGATCAGCTTGTCCTCGCCAATCATCACCTCCTCGATCCGACCACATTGGCCGATCTTGACCAGATCCGGTCGGTCAAACGTACTCGCAATCTCGCCGCCGGTCACGAGGGCCAGACGCTCGACACCTTCGAAATCGGCATGCTCGATCGACATGATGCCCGCATCGGCAAGCAGGCTCTCGGGGTAGTTGTAGATGAGCTGGCGGTTGACAAAGCACGTGATGCCGTGCGCCTTGATCTTTTCCACCTTGGCCTTCATCTTTTCGCGCTCGGCACGCTCGAGTTCGGCGAGCTTTCCGGTGCCCTCGACGCGCACGCGGGCCCCAAACACCTTGATCTTGTCCGTATCCATGGACGTATTGGCGATGAGGATCTTTGCGTTGTTGAGGGATTTGGGACAGTTGGTGCCGATCTTCTTGTCGAGGATAAAGCCCTCGTCGAGGTACGAGTCGGTAAGCTTGCCGCCGGCCTTCTTGATGATCTGGATGTGCTCGAGGTTGGTGGATCCCTTGAGGCGGAGGACGGCGTCGACGGCAAGGTTGGCAAAGTAGTCCTTGTCGGCACTGAGCACCTTGCTGGAAAGCGTGGTGCGGGCGATGTTCATGAGGTCCTCGCGGAACGTGGCTGGGTCGGTACCGTGGTCCTCGGCGGTATCTTCGAGTGCCTTGAGTGCGGCTGCGGAAGCGATGCGGTATCCTTCGACGATGGTCTGCGGGTGGATGCGCATGTCGATCAACTTTTCCGCCTCGCGCAGCAGTTCGGCCGCCAGCACACAGACGCTGGTGGTGCCATCGCCCACCTCGTCGTCCTGCACCTTGCTGATGTTGACCAGGATCTTGGCCGCGGCATTGTCGAGGTGGATCGACTTGAGGATGGTGGCGCCGTCGTTGGTGACTACGATATCGTTGGAGCCGACGCTCTGCAGGATCTTGTTCATGCCCTTGGGTCCGAGCGTGGTCTTGACCAGGTCGCCGAGTGCGACGGCGCCGACGAACGAGCTCAGGCGAGCGTTCTCCGCACGCTCCTGCGTGGCCTCCTGCGCGAAAATCGGCGCCGACATGATGTTTGGAGCAGATGTGGGTGCAGAGAGATGGTGGAGCGCAGCAAGTGAGCCACAGTGCGTGCGTCTTTCCAAAGTGTTGCTCCGGCGCGGCGGCGCGTGTGGCACTTTGTCCGTGCAAAGTCAAGGCTCAGCTCCGCAGCCGCTTCGGATTTGCGATTCTTCTCAGCAACGCGTCGGCGCTGTCCAAAGTCGAGCCAAAAGAAGAGAAGGCAGAAGAACAAAAAAGCGGTGCGCGCGCAGCACCACATTGTTAGATTCTTAACACATACTGCTGTTAGGTCACGCGACTCAGCCCTTCCGCGCTCTCCACCCCCTCAGCCTGGGCCCACTGTATGCTGCTCTTGCGACAATGTCAGACTGCGATTGCAGCGAAGTGGACGCATCGATGAAGCCATACGGAAGCGCCGATGCAGAGATTGTATGTTACATATGTAGCGAGTAAAGTCTGCCGATTGGGGTCCTAAACGGTTGCGGTGGGGGGGACGACCTGCTGTTCGTCGATCTTGACGCCCCTTGCCTTGTCGTCGCTCAAGGCACTACGCACATCGTTGGGCAATTCTCCCTCGTGTTCCTCCCTGTACTTCTTGAGCATCTCGATAGTTGTCACCTTGAGCCCCCACTTGCTTGCGAACTTGAGGCATGCATCCCGGCTTGCAATGCCTCCATCTTCATCGTCCGGGTCGACGAGTTCGCACAGCAGTCCTGCTGGTGGTAGGCCAGCGAGTTTGCACAGATCGACGCTTGCTTCGGTGTGACCTTTGCGCACACGGACGCCGCCTTCGGTGTATCGAAGCGGGTTCATGTGACCTGGTCTTGTAAAGTCGTCCACCTTGGCTTCGAGTGTGGGGTCGGCAAGTTGTCGCGACGTCAACGCCCGATCGTGTGCAGAGATGCCGGTGGTTGTGCCGTGCTTGTAGTCGACAGTGACGGTGTAGGCGGTCTTGTTCTTCTCCGTGTTGTTCGGCACCATCATCGGAATCGCCAGCTCGGCAATACGTTGCGGCGTAAGAGAGATACAGATAAAGCCAGAGGTGTGTTGGATGAACCATGCCATTTGCCGCGTTGTGCAGAGTGCAGCCGAGATGATCAGGTCGCCTTCGTTTTCCCGGTCCTCATCGTCTAGGACAACGACGAATTTGCCCGCCTTGATGTCGGCCACCGCCGCTTCTATTGGATCAAACATGTCGTCCCAAAGTATGTAGCGTGTGTCTTCCGTTCCAGTAGATATCCAGTTGTGTAGCGGGAAGGCGTCGTTGTGTTGGAGGTGGATGCGGATGACGGTCGGAGGTAAGGAAAGAGGCGGGGCGGATCTTATGAGTGGAGCGCGGTCTTATGGAAACCGGCACCGCTTATTCCACCGGGCTCTTGCACACTCGATTCGGCTCGCCGTCTTCTGGTTGGTCAGGCGCCCTCTCTCTCCCAGCCAAGAAGGACTGCGCGCCGCCCTAAGCTTTGAAAGCTCAAAATTTGGATTTGTTAGATTGGGCGTCAGCCCGGGGTTAGCCCGAGGCTTTGCGGCGCCCGTAACCTCCGAAAGGCCGCGGCCATCATCCACCCACCACCAACCTCCATCACTCTGCCCGCAATCATCATCGTGATGACCTTATATCATCATGGTCCATTAGCTAACCTGCTCAACCCCCGACAAACTCGCGTCATAACCACGAATGAACAGCCGCGGACCGAGTCCTTCCCAAACGCCCATCACGTGTGTGCTCAACTCTCTCTCATCCAGCTCCTCCTCCATCGCATCCTCAGTCGTCGTGTCTACCATCCACCATGAGAAGCAACTTGTACAATTGATTGGGATTCGAGTAGAGGGGAGATATTGAGAAGCTAATCCATATCGAGCAGTGCCATCTCCTCGTCGCTGTCGATCATGTCGTTGGTCACGCGCGCCTTCTTGGTCCTCTTCTGCGTGGCGGCCTTCTTTGCGCTCGGCTCGCCATCCTCGTCGCTGCTCTCGTCAAACACTGCCTTGCGGCTCTTGCTGACGCTCTCTCCGCCACTTCCCGCGTCGTTGTCGTCGTCGTCGTCGGTATCGCGCGCCTTGGCACGTCTGAGGCTCTTGCGTCGCTTCTTGCCGCTCTCGCCCGCCGACTTGCGCGTGCCCTTCTTTTTGGATTTGGCCAGCTTGGACAGCTTGCTCGACTTGCCACTGCGCGTTCCACCCGCCTCGCCGCCTTCCTCGGCAAGAAGCTTGGCGCCGTTACGGATGATCTCGTCGTCGCCATCCTCGTCGTCGTTGTTGTCGCTGCTCTCACTGCCGCTCGCCGCACCCCCGAAGAGCGCATCGTCGTCGCTCAGGCCCGAATCGCTCGAATCGGCACTCTTCTTGGCAGCCTTCTTCTTCTTCTTGCCCGCAGCACGCTTGCGCTTGCGACCCTTCTCCGCCGCCGCATCGGGGGCATCTTCCTCGCCCGATGTAACGTCGTCCCGCTTGGATCGACGGCGTGGCTCCTTTTCTGGGGTAGTTTCGCGCAGGTACTCGATTTTGGCCGCTTCCTCGCGCAGCGCCTTGCGCTTTTCTGCCATCTGCTCCACCTGCGCACGGTACTCTTCCTCCTTGCGCATGCGCTCCTGCTCGCGCGCCAGCTCCTTTTCGCGCCGCGCCAGCGCCACCGCCTCCTTGTGCTTCTGCACCTCGGCCTCGTAGCTCTCCTGGTCCGCCAGCGCCGCCGTCGCCCTCTGCACCAGCGAAGACGCACCGTACTTGCCGCGCTGCTCCACGATCTCGGGCGTCATCCACAGCAGCTGCCCGCGCCGAGCCGCCTCCAGCAGCGCTCCCTCCTTGCCCAGCGGCGTCGGCTGCGGCGAGCTCGCGTCGGCAGGAGCCACCAGCAGCGGCTGCACCCGCTGCACCGCCGCCATGGCATCGCGCAGCGCCTGCGCCGTCTTGCGGTCCTTCTGCAGGTCAAACAGCATCTGCAAGCCCTTGTGCGCCGTCACGGCATAGTTGTACTCGATCTGGCGGCACTCTGGATGGGCCTCGCCGCGATCGTGCATCAGCAGCGTGCGCGCCTCCTCCAGATGCGCCAGCGAGCTCTGCAGGCTCGCAAACGACTTGGTCTTCATCCCGATCGCGTACTCGGCGCGCGCCACGTACTGCACCACCGCCGCCTTGGCCGCCCCCACCGAGCGGCGCGCCGCCAGCTCGTACGACTTGTGCGCACGCTCGTACTCCTCCTTCTGCATGAGCACGTGGCCCATGCACACGTGCACGCTCGGCTCGTCGCGCACCTCGCGCAGCTTGCCCAGGATCGCAAACGCCTCGTCGGCGTTCTTCTTGCGTCGCTCCTCGGGCGCCCCGCCCAGCACGCCGGGCAGCGTCAACGAGGTGCCGCCCGCCATCTCGGCAAAGGCATCCTCGGCAATCAAGATCGCCATGCCCTGCGCCGCAAACGCACACCGCGCATCCTCGGCCAGCGCCTTGCCCATCAGATCCGTGGCGCGCGTCATGTTCTTGCTGCGCTCCGCCTTGGCCGTCGGTCCGGACGCGTGGATGGCCAGCTGGTAGTACGTCCAGCCGAGCGACGCGAGCGTGTGGGCGTCACGCCTGCCCGCCTCCGTCGCCGCCTTGGCCGCCGCCGCACCACCAAACGCTGCGTGCGCCGCCTTGTCGTTGGCACTCGCAAACAGACGCGCGGTAAACTCCTTGATCGCCGCCCAGGCCGGCGTGGGGCTCGCTGCGAACTCGCCAGCCAGGAAACAGATGTACGTGGCGCGCGTGTCAAGATTGCCCGGGTCCGAGTCGAGTGCCTCCTTGAGCAATGCATTCGCCGCATCGCGCCTCGCCTTCATCTTTGCTGCGGCCTCTGCGCCCACGGCGTCGGCGGGCACGTGCGCCACGCTGAGGATCGCCAGACGCACCTTGGCGTCGATGTACTCGGGGTGCGCGCCGAGCAGCGCATTGTACGCCTGGCGCGCGACGTCGAGGTTGTCGGCCTCCTCGTTGGCGCGGCCGAGGTTGTACGAGGCGATGAGCTTGACGGCGTCGACGGTGCGCTGCGCCTCGAGCCTCGCCGTGGTGGTGGCGGAGGCAGCCGTGGCGCCAAACGCACTCACGGCGTCGGCAGCAGCAGTGACGGCCGACTCGAGGCGCGCGATGGCGCGCTGCAGCAGCCAGGAGCGTTCCTCGTCGCGCTGCGGGTCCGCTGCGGGGATGTCGGTGGCACGCATGGCAAGTACGGCGCCGAGGCACGTCTCGAGGCTGGCGAGCAGCGCGACGTTGTTGGCGTTCTCGTCGTCTTGGATCTTGCCGTCGTCTGCGCTAGCGCCAGCCTTGGCTCTGGCGAGCTCGAGAGCCTCTGCATACGCCGAGGTGGCGCGCGCGAGGTCCTCGGTCTGAAGCAGCTCTGCGAATTCGACGCGCGTGAGCGGATCGGCGCCCAGACTGGCGATGGCCTCGAGCGCGGACTTGGACAGATCTTCGGTGCGGATGGCGAGCGAAGCCTTTGCGAGCGCAGGTGGCACGTCGGTCGCCGCATCTGCCGTAGCCACCGAGGTCTTGGTGGCGTCCGGCAACTCATCGGGCTGGGTGAAGAGCGCCTGAGGGCCAAAGGCGTCGAGTTTGGCGGCCTCGATGAGGCGAAGAGTGCGGTCGAGCATGATGCGTGCGCGCTCTGCGTCGTCGCGTCGCTCTGCGGCGGTGGCACCGGGATGCGACTGTGCGCGCAGGCTGGCGGCGAGCAGCGAGAGCTCGACGGTTTGCGTAGCCGAGACGGTGCTGGCGGGTCTGGTGGAGAGCACGTCGAGCGTGTTGATGGCAGCGAGCGGATCGCGATTGGCGACCTGGCACTGAGCGAGGCCGAGACTGGCGAGGGAGAGGAAGAGGTTGAGCTGCGCGCTGTTGGGCGCACTGGCGGCGGTGGCGCTGGAGAGGGCGCGGGTGACGTCTTCGACGACACGCTGGTAGTATCGCTGCGCTTGGAGCCTGAGCTCGGGCTGGGTGGCGTTGATGGTGAGCTGGGAGGCGAGGTGGGCGGCGCGCGCATAGATGAGCTGTGCGTGGTTGACGCCGACGCGCGCCTCTGCATACTGGATCGCGTGTTCCCCGAGCTTGAGCGCGGTGGCGTAGTGTGCCATGGCGGCCTGCTCGACCTCGATGGTGGAGCCAGGCTGGCTCTCGGCCTGGGCGGCCCTGTTGATAAAGTACTCGCACATGGCGACGGCGGCGGTTGCGTTCTTCTTGTCGAGTTTCCAGCTCTGCTGAAGGCTTTGCATGCCCTCGGTGTAGGCGAGCTCGCGGGCTTCTTCCTCGGATCGGTCTACGTGCGCGCCAAAGGTGCCGGGGACGAGGCGTGCGGTCTGCTTTGCGAGGTTGAGGCTGGAGATGCCGAGGAGGAGGTGAGCGGCGGCGTTGTTGGCGTTGACGTTTGCGGCGCGCTTCCAGGCCTTTCTGGCGGCGTCGTGGTGGCCGAGACCCCAGAGGCAGAGGCCGATGCCGACGCGAGGGTCGGGGCCGCGCCAGCCGAGGATGTCTGCGTTTTCGTTGGCGTTTGCCTGTACGAGCAGGCTGACCTCGAGCGCGTTCTGGTAGAGCTTGAGCGCGGGGGCGTACTGGCGCTTGCGGAGGAGGATGCAAGCCTTGCCGAGGAGGGCGAGGGCGTGCCTGGGGTTTGCGTTGAGGATGGCATCGAAGACGACGAGTGCGCCTTCGTTCTGACCTGTGGTGGTGAGGAAGATGGCTTTGGAGAGCTGGTTGATGTGCTGTTTTGGATCGAGCGTGGTAGCGGGCGATTGGGCCTGGTTGGACTGCCTGTAGAAGTCGTCCTTGATCTGCTGATTGCCGAGGCGCTGGTATCTGGCGTCGTTGAGGATGAGCTTGGGAGCGGTGCGCGCGCTGTTGAGCGACACGGCGGCGAGGAATGCGCGCAGCGGGATCGTCTCTGCGGGCTTGTAGGATTCGAGCACCTGGACGCCCTTGGACGCTACTTGTACCGCCTCGTCGATGCGACCTTCGATGAAGAGCTGGGAGGAGAGGCGAGTCCAGTACTTGGAGGCGGGACGCTCGTAGGCGAGCGCCTCGAGGAAGACCTGCACATCCTCTGCGGGAGGGAGCGGGTCGAGGTCGAGCGAGATGGACTCGTTGACGGCGACGGGCAGATCGAGCGTCCTGTTGCGCGGCGGCATGGTGGATGCGGATGCTTTGCCGGCAAGCTACCGTAGCTAGATGACAGCTGCAGCAAGGCGACCAACGCGAGATGAGGTTGATGGGGGGTGAGGAGAAGAAGGGCTGAGCCTCGGCGCGCGTTTCGAGCATCCGAGCGCAGAGCGCGATTCAGCTCTTCAGAAGACCAGCCCAAAGCAGCAGCAGCGCAGGCCCGACCGAGCCGATCAGCGCGCGGAGTTTCCAATTTGTTGGGGGCAACCGATGTAACATTTTTTAGTTTCTTGCGCGGAATTTTAAATTTGTTGGGGTCAACAGATGTAACATTTTTTAGTTTCTGTCAATCTGTTAAGTCTCGACTGAACGGCACAGCTCGGAACGAACGGCGCTTCATGTCGGCTCAGCCGAGATTTTCGCGCTGGCTGAGCAGCGGTGCATTTGCGGATGGCCACTCGAAGGATGACTCCAAGCTCGACTTCTTAGCCTTTCCTCCCGCCTTCCTCGCAGCGCTTCACCTCGCATCTCTTCGATCACGGTCACCTCATCTCTCAGGCGTGCGATTTGGTCTTGCTGCGAACTCGTCACGTCATCATGGCTGGAATCGGTGTTGCCACGGGCGCCGCGCTCACCGCCAACGGCAGCTCTTCCTCCTTGATCGGCTCGCCCTCCGCATCCTCTTCGAGCCGCACGATCACCGTGGGTGTGCTGGCGATCCAGGGAGCATTTCGCGAGCACGCATCGCACATCAACCGTCTCAACACGCTGTATCCGCTCGAGACGATCCGAAGCACGCTCGTGCGCACGCCCGAGCAGCTGGGCGAGTGCGATGCGCTCATCATCCCTGGCGGCGAGTCCACGGCGATCTCGCTCGGCTGCGAGCGCATCGGTCTGCTCGAGCCGCTGCGTCAATGGGTGCGCGCAGGTAGGCCCGTATGGGGTACGTGTGCGGGCATGATCATGCTCGCGCGCGAGGCGAGCGGCGGCAAGAAGGGTGGGCAGCAGCTCATCGGCGGCGTGGACGTGCGTGTGGGAAGGAACGGATTCGGAACGCAGGTCGACTCGTTCGAGACAGGACTCGAGATCCACGGGCTCGATAAGCAGAGCGAACCGTTCAATGGCGTCTTTATCCGTGCGCCCGTCGTGGATGCGTTGCTGCTTCCGACCGACCTCGAAAAGGTGCCTGTCGACCAGCCCACCCTCGTCAAGCGCATCGATCCGGCCACGTTGCCAGAAGGCGTACCTGCACCGCTGACCACCTCGGACGCAGTACCGCTTACGCCGGGGGAGGAGCTTCCATCCACCGCATCGGAGCCGCCCGTGCCCAAGCTCGGTAACGCCGACCAGGCACTGCGCATCGTCGTTGCGCCACCGCTCTACGATACGGCCGACCCTGTGCAGTCGGCACAAAAGCGTCCGCCCATCGAGATCCTCGCCACGCTGCCGCAGCCCGTCACGCCGCCCAAGTCGCCCGCCAACCAGCCGGTCGCATCGAGCGCGAGCCAGCGCGACCCGCGCCTCGATCTGCCCCGTAGACCCGACCACGACTCCCAGATCGTCGCCTTGCGGCAAGGCAATATCCTCATGACCAGCTTCCATCCCGAACTCACCCCCGACACGCGCCTCCACAACCTCTTTGTCGCCAAGATCGTCGTCCCCTACAAGCGCGCCCAGTCGTAGCCTTATCCCCCCGGGCTGGCGAGTTCAGGCGATGTTCGTTCGGATTTTCAGTAATGCATTAGACTATAGACTCTTGCTGTCCGTGTGATGTGTGGAAGTTCGATCGGGACTGGCTTCCACAGGTTGCGGTGGTGGGGTTTGAAGGAACGAGGTTGCTGTGAGGTTGGTTGGGTTGGGTCACGTGAGAATGTGAGGATCCAAATCGGGAGTATGCGGGGGGGGGGGGGGGMARAAGACGATTTGAGATTTTTTTTTTCGCAGACCCTGCATTCGATGCCGCGGGTCAGCAGCAGCGCTTGCAAAAAAACGTTGTGATGTGGAGTTTTTCACCATCCCTACCACCATCTTTGCACTCTACTCTTTGCAACATGTCTACACAAACCGCACCCGCTGGGGGCGAAGGATCGTCGCACAGTACGCCATCATCACAACCCGTCGCTGCAGATGGAACATCAACCCCCACATCAGTCACATCTTTGGACCTCTCCAACCTCTCTTCACATCCACTCTACACGGCCATGTTTCCAACCCCCGACTTGCCGATCGCCAACATCAGCCGCATTATGAAGAGGTCGCTACCCGAAAACGCAAAGATCGCAAAAGACGCCAAAGAGTGCGTTCAGGACTGCGTGAGCGAGCTGATCAGCTTTATCACGTCCGAAGCATCGGATAAATGCGCCGCCGAAAAGAGAAAGACGATCAATGGTGATGATATCTTGTACGCCATGAGGGTACTTGGTTTCGATAACTACGAAGAAGTCCTAAGGGTCTATCTATCGAGGTATAGATTGGATCAGGAGAACAATCCGAAACCAAGAAAGAAGAACGACTCCCACGCGAATCACGACGAAGAGGACGATGACGACGACGAGGCAGCCCATGCCCAGTACCAACACCAATCATAGGCTCGTCCTAATCCTCCACCGACAAGCGATTCTCCAACATCGCCTTTTGTAATCCACATCCGAACCCGTCACCCTTGTACCTTGTACTTGTAGCCTCGCCCCCCTGCCTCTCTTGCAAATTCGCATCGCTTCTCATCGCTTCCCACTCACCAAAACAGGCACAGACACGGCATCGATCATACGGCCTCGATTGCATCGCTCTCTGCACCTACAACACCGACGCCAGCCGAGGCTGTCGCACCGCATTTACGCCACTGCCCTCGCTTCCCGCCGCCCGAGCCGTCTCGTCGCACATGCGGTCGAACCCATACCGCGCATCCAGCCGCGGATGGCTCGGCGTGCCGATAAAGTACGAGTCCATCGCCGACAGGAATCGGCTCGCATACTCGGACGGCGGCAGGATCGTCACGTTGGCCTTGGCATCCTGTGCCTTGAGCGCCTTCTTGCTGCTCGACTCGAGCTGCTTGGCCAGCGTGAACGCGCCCAGAAAGTCGACGATGCGGCACCGGAACGACGGCCGCTCCGCAGCTTCCTCCACCTCGTCTGCATCTCCCTCGGCTCCGTGTCCGCTCGCATCGCCGCCCGCAGCTCGAGCGGGTGCAGGGTACATGTCGTCGGCCCGGATCGGCCGCTCCATCACGCCAAGCAGCAGCGAGTAGTCCATGACGTTGGAAGCCGTCAGGAAGCGGGTGTCGTTTTGCAGCGCGCGGTAGAAAAGCTCCTTCTGCGTCTCGGGCACAAACGCTCGGTGCCGGTACCGCGAGATCCACTCGCTGTCCCACCATACCGCGCTCGAGCCTGACGCCGGCTTGGCCTCGCTCTCAGCCACCCCGGCGCCGTTGGCAGCTGACTTGGAAGATTCGTCTGCTGAGCCAGCAGGACTGGCCACGCCTTTGCTGCCCGCTAGCTCGCTGAAGCCCGGCTTCTGACTATCTCCCGAGTGCGTCTTGACCGTGCTGCTCGACCCTGCCTGCACACCAGCATTCCACGCCGCCGTTGCAGCCCCCTGCGTCGCACCGGGCACATTGATCAGCGGCTGTCCCTCGGCTGCCGCCTGCGTGGCGGCTTGCTCCAGATCCTGCTGCTGCTGCGCGCTCAATTTCACCTTGCGATCCCGGATGCCCTTGAGGTCGAATCGGATCGACTTGCCCCCGTCGCCCGCCCACAGATTCTCGAGCAGCATCACGTTCATCTTGAGCTTGGTCTCGCCCGACTTCGTGTCCTTGATCTTGATGCTGTATACGCCTGCGATCTTGACGAGCAACGTCGGGCACGCGTTCACCGCCGAATTCATCATGTACCGGATGTAAGCCGGTGCAAACTCAAGGAACGCCTCCTTCTCGTCCACGCTCCACACCGTCAGCAGCTGCTTGGCGATAAAGCGCTCGTCGGCCGTCTTGAAGAAGGCTGATTTCGACTTGCCTCCCGTGGCGGCCCACGGCGAGCATCGAGCTAGGCTGTGCGCGAAATCGTGCTCCACCCCCCATCGCTCGCGGAGCGCTGCGAACTCTTCGGCAAACCACGAAACGCACGAGATCTTGGTGGTCCCGTGCACGAGGTTGTGCTTGATGTGCGGCGACTCGGCCGCTTGCGAACCAGGCAGCGTGCTGTTTGACACCATCGAATGAGCATCTGCCCCGGCCATCCCCTCGCTCGTGCCCGAAGGCTGCGCACCATGCTTGCGAGGGCTGCGGCTGCTACTGCTACTGCCATCGTCACTGAGCGACGGCAGGTCATCGACAGACAACCCAATCTCGGCTGCACTCGGGCCCGCCGCTCCCGCCGCTCCCGACGGTCTTCGGCTCGCTGGCGCAGTTCGCGGAATAGCTCGTGGAGCAGATGCCCCTGTGAAACTGCTGGTGCGAGAGTTGAGCGTCTCCAGTCCGGGCTGGCCAGATGAAAAGATGGTGGCCAGCGACGCAGGACGACCAGAGATGGGCGTCACTTGCGCCTGGAAGGTAGTCTCCTTGCTTGTAGTGCTGATCGTGCTGGCCGTACCTGCCTGAATGGAAGACCTTCTGTCGGGAATCGATGAGGAGGATGCCTGTGATCGCAGCTCGAACGTCCTGCGCAATGCCGACACGCTTCCAGAGTTGCGCAGCTCCGGCCGGTTTGGCGATGGCGATGGCGACCGGTTGTCGAATCGTGAGGCAGAAGTGCGCCGGGAGGGGGTAGCATCCAGATCGCGAGTTGGCGAGCCGATCTCGAGCCTGCTGCCACTTGCGACAGAACTACGCCGAGACCTGTCGTCGCCAGTGACTTTGAGGTTCTTCCCGCGACCCTCGCCATCACCCTCGTCACCATCATCCTCGTCGTCGTCGTCGTCGTCGTCGTCACAGTCTCCACCTTTCAAGGAGCTGGCGGAAGAGGCCGGTAGGCTGTTGGCGGTCAGAGTCTGGTAGCTCGCTCCTTGAGAGTCCGAGATGGTTGAACCGACCCGGCGAAGCGTCATCGAGAGGATCGACGACTCCCGTGCACGCTTCTTTCGCTTCAGCGCGGCGCGCACAGGCTCGGCATCGAAGAAGACCTCGTCTGTGTCCGGATCAAGCTGCGACAGCGGCACCTTGCGCATGGTCCTGTCTCTGAGCAGCGACATGGCTGAGGAGGCGGTAGTGCTTGTGTCGGTGCTGCCGGCGGTCGAGATGATCGATCCTCCCGCTCCTGTCGCAGACTGGCCGCCATCGACGACACCGCTTCGCCACTGTTTGACATGCTCGTCGTTGGCGCTGCCCATGTACCCATCTGCATCCTGCTTGCGATCGCCGAGCGTGCCCATCTCGGCCCGAAAGTCGCGGGAGCTGAGCGAGAACGCGATGATGGAGAGAGGTTCGTCGTCACGAATGATGTAGCAGCTGCCTGGGAAGGCGCGAAGGCCAGCCTTGATGTACTCTGGCTCGTCGTAGACGCAGCTGCCAAAGTCGGCCTGCTCCTTCTTGCTCAGGTGCTTCTTGGTCCAGGCAGCCAAGCGATTCTTGGCCGACTTCGCACGGTCGGCAAACGCCTTTCGGATGTCGTTGATGCCATCGAGGAACAAGGTCCTCTGCAGGGCTTCGTAGAGCTCGAACTCGTCTGCCCGAAGAGACGCGCGCAGATTCGTTAGGAAAGTGAGCGGTTGGGCCAGCTGATCCGAGATCGTCGAGTCGGACGATGACGCTGCCGCGCCAACTGCTGGTGCCGGCTTGGCATCCGCAATTGGAATGGGCGCGCCTGTCTTGCTCCGGATGGTGCGACCGGCTTCATCGAGCTCTCGAGAAACAAAGACATCCTCGAGTCTGGTCGTGTTGCGCTTGATGGACGCAAAGAAGCGCTGGATCTCGAGTCGCGTCTCTTCTGCAAGTTGCTTGAACCTCCGCTTCTCCGCTTGCGCCTGCTTCTGCTTTCGCTCGCGCCGACGGTCCGAGCTTGTCTTGAGGCAGGGACCTTCGATGTGAAGGTCGTAAACAACAAGCGGCTGCACTTGCACCTTGACGAGAGACCGTCCGCTGCGGAAGAAGCGGAGAAGTTCGGGACCCTCTGCGATGCTGCGAGCATCCTCGCTTCGGCCCTGGCGAAGCTGTTGTTGGACGTTGGACAGGCCGCCGTATGCCTTGGTGTTGACGGGCTCCAGCCCAGCTGCTCGACGCAGTGCAGGATGGTATGAGACGGCCTCCAAGTAGCGTGCAAAGGAGAGCAGGTAGGTGGACTCGGACATTGGCACGGCTTGGCCCTGCCAGCCACTCTTGGCGCTGGCATTCCACATCCAGATGCCACTTGTGCTCCCACTGCCCTTCTGATCGATCAACGGCCGCGACGCGCCAGTCTCGGCCGCTCGGACTGCAGTCTCAGCCACCGCAAAGGCGGTCTTTGCCGCTTCTTTGTCCGTGTGTGATGCAGCGGCGATAGCAGACACGTCCGAGTCCTGACTCGCAGTAGCTTGCAACGACGGCGAGCTGGATGCGACGTCCACTTGGGGACCCTTCTCTTTTGGCTGGACCTTGTCTTCGAAAACAGTGTCGGATGGTGCCTCTGATTCGTCTCCACATACGTTCGGCGGCATCACGGTCGCAACGATCCTGATGCGGCACTGGCCATGAATGAAGTGGAGGCGCTGCTCGGGCATACCGTAAACGCTGTTGATTCCCTGGCGCTGTGCGACGGGCTGGCCGGTGCGATCCTTGGCGCTACTCGCATTGTGCTTGCTGCTTGCGGCGCGAGAATCGTTTGCCTTGGACATCGCGTCTCGATCTGCCTCTAAGGCACAAGCGCGGATGCTGAGCTCCTCGATCACCTGTCCGAGAGGGACATCGCGGTTGTTGCTCAAACGCTGATAGAAGGCGACCTCTTCGCGACAAAGTCCGACAGCCGACCCGTCGCCCGAAAGGAGCTCGTACGACAGCAACTGAATCGGAGTTACAGCGAGTTGAGTCGGCTGTGGCTGCTGGGATCGCGACGAGATGACGCTCCAAGCCGAGGACGCCTGCTTTTGCACGCCGACGAATGGCAGCAAATCGCCCGAGGCGGAGATGCCGTGCGAAGGCGAAGCAAATGTGAGGTGCTCGCCTCGCTGGTCAGCAAGGAAGCGCAGTGCTTGTAGCCGATGGAATGCTGTCAGATAGGCCGTACTTGGGAATAGGCGATGTTGCGGACCCTGCTGAAACTGGTAGCACTGGAGCAAGGACAGCTCCGGTGAGGTGGAGAGAGCTGCAGGACTCGGCGAGGTGACGGGAAAGATGGTCTCTGGTTTCGCCCGGATGAGCTGCGCCTGGGACCTAGAGGAACTTAGATGCGTTGCGACGACCGATTGTACCGAGGTAGGAGGATGGCTGTCGGCGTCGCGGCTGCGGGCGACGGAGCTGGCAGCGGAGGTGGAGTGCTGCATGTCCTTCTGTGAAGCATCTGCATTCGGGCGAGCAAATGCATTCATGAGGCGACCCACCAATCGATGAGGCTTGTTCGCAGCCCCATTCGAGTTGGAAGATCCGCGAATGCCTTGAGGGGTTGGAGGAGCCGAATTGTTGGAA